AAATCCCAGTGATTCTCAAAAGTCCGGGTGCCTCGGAATTACCTGGGAAGCATAAAAATGCAGATACCCCAGCACCTACCAGAATCCACAGGGGTTGAGCACAGGTGAGCTTGGACAGATCCCAGGTACTGCCCTCCTGGCGTGCTGCAGGAGCCCTTGGGGGTCAAGTGAAGATCTGTGGTTCTGGCCCAGGGAATAAGGGGAGGGAACAACTCATTTGCTCCGTGTGCCCTCTGCTGGTGGTGGGAGCAGACAGCACATCGAAATGGTGGCTCTTTCCTGCACTGGGTCTCTCACCTCCAGTGTGGGGATGCTTCAGGGCAGCAATCGTCAACCCAGGCTACACGTGAGAATCACCTGGGGGACCCGGACAACAGCAATGCCTGGTCACCGGCCTGGGCAACGACATTTCCTTTTTTAAGATTTTATTTATTTGACAGAGAGAGAGAGAGCAAGCAAGCATAAGCAGGGGGAGTAGGAGAGGGAGGAGCAGGCTTCTGGCTGAGCAGGGAGCCCGATGCGGGGCTCGATCCCAGGACCCTGAGATCATGACCTGAGCCGAAGGCAGACGCTTAACCAACTGAGCCACCCAGGCGCCCTGGACAACAGTATTTTTTAAAAAGCTCTCCAGGTGATTCTGCACATGAAGCCAGAGCTGAGAACCTACTCTTTAGGCAAAAAAATTTGCCCCGGGGAACACGATGTCCAGAGGCATGAATTACTGTGGTGTTTTCTGTCCTGATAGTCTACATCTGAAATTTCCAGCCTGTCTGCATTTCAGAATCGGCTTCAAGCTTGTCAAAAAGATTCTGGGGACCCATCCCACACATAACCAGAATCTCCAGGAGTGAGGTTCACTCAGGTAATAGCTTACAACTAGACCAACACCAGGGGTTATTTGAGTTAATTCTTGTCTTTAATGAGGTCGAAGTCAAATCATTAATACCTCTTAAGACATTTTATAGGGGCGCCTGGGTGGCTCAGTCAGTTAAGCATCTACCTTTGGCTCAGGTCATGATCTCAGCATCCTGGGATCGAGCCCTGCATTGGGCTCCCTGCTCAGCAGGAAGTCTGCTTCTCCCTCTGCCTGCCACACCCCTTGGCTTGTGCTCTCTCAAATGAATAAATAAAAAATCTTTTTTTTTAAGATTTTATTTATTTATTTGACAGAGAGAGACACAGCGAGAGAGGGAACACAAGCAGGCTTCCCGCTGAGCAGAGAGCCCGACATGGGGCTCGATCCCAGGACCCTGGGATCATGACCCGAGCCGAAGGCAGACGCTAAACGACTGAGCCACCCAGGTGCCCCTAAATAAAAAATCTTTAAAAATAAAAATAAAGGATCACTTTGGTGATCTCAGGATCCTGAGACGAAGCCCTGCATCGGGGCACCATGCTCAGTGGGGAGTCTCCTTGAGGATCCTCTCTCCCTCTCCCACTGCCCTTCCCACTCGTGCTCTAGCTCTAAATAAATCAATCTTAAAAAAACAAAAAGCAAAAATCAAAAACAAAGGATCACTTTGGCTGCTGTGAGGACAGACTCTAGAAGGGGAAGGATCATGGAAGCAGCAGGTTGCCACAACCCAGAGGAGACATGAGGGCGGCGTGGATCACAATGGCAGGGGTGCACAGGGGGAGAAACAGTCAGCTTCTGGTCGGATTTTTGAGAGTCGGCCTAAAACAAGAAGCTAATGGAACGACATGCCATTTCCCCTGAAGAAAGAACTGGTGCTTCTGAATGGGCCAGGGACGCCCAGGCTCTGGGTCAGGGCTTGGGGGAGAGTGTTCTCCTGCGTGCACAGCTCTTGTGTCTGGGAAAACCACAGCTATGCCCAAAACGGTGGGTGCCGAGCGTCCCCAAATGCCTGAGGGACATAACCACACACTCCCCCAGACTAGGGTCTCCAACCACAGGAATCAAATCCACAAACCTACGACCTTACATGTGCATCTCTAACTACAACTGAATACAAGTTACAAAGTGTGGTTTCTTCTTGTTTCTAAAAGATCCCACACCTTGGGGCACCTGGGTGGCTCAGTCGGTCAAGCATCTGCCTTCAGCTCAGATCATGATCCTGGGGTCCTGGGATCGAGCGCCGCATCGGGCTCCCTGCTCTGTGGGGAGTCTGCTTCTCCCTCTCCCTCTGCTCCTCCCCCCAGCTTGTGCCCTCTGTCTCACATAAATGAAACCTTTAAAAATGTCTAAAAATAAAAGCTCCCGCACTTCCTTCCGCCGTTCTCGCCTTTCTCTGACCCTCCAGGCTTTCCCTGGTGTTGAGGATCAAATCAGGGTCGGCCCCAGCACATGCACCCGGCTCTTGCTCTAGTTCCTGCCTCCTCCTCAGGGCGACCCACGCCCCCTCACTGCTCCCAGTCACCCAAGTACACACGTGCACTGGTTTACCGGCCGTCCTGCCTCCCCCAGGGGAACCCAAATCCGCCTCTTTGTGGCCAGTGCTGAGCAGGGCCTGGCACAAGAGATTTGGGCAGAATGAAGGGCTGATCTGGAAGCTTGCGGGAACACTCTTGTGTTACAGGCTTTACTTGCGTCTTCGAGATGGAATAAATTAAGAAAACCAAACTTCTTTTGTGTTAGTGACAAAGGGTCGGGGGGGGGGAGAGGGAGAGGGGGAGAGAGGGAGAGAGGGAGAGGGAGAGGGAGAGAGAGAGAGAGAGAGAGAGAGAGAGAGAGGATGTTAGGCAGGCTCCACGCCCCGTGCAGAGCCTGAAGTGGGGCTCGATCTCACGACCCTGAGACTCGGACCTGAGCCGAATCAAGTCGGGTGCTTAACCGCTGGGGCCACCCATATGCCCCATGATATGCCACATTCCTTTGTAACAATGGGAAAATGGAAATGATTTAAGTAGTAAAGGTTTAAGGACCAGCTACATCCACTCAGTGGAGTATTTTGCAATTTCTGAATTTGTTTTTACACATTGTATTTAAATGAAAAAAATCAAATTATCTGCACCTTTTGTTTTAGGGATGGTGTACTGCCTATTGTTTTCCCCAACTTTACTGAGCTATAACTGACCTATAACGCTGTATCAACTTAAAAGTGTACAACATAATGATTTATCTATGTATATATATTGCAAAACGATTAATACAACACGGTTAGTTAATGTCAGACATCTCAAATCGTTACAAGGTTTTTATTTTCTTGTGACAGAATATTTTTAATGGTTTACAACTAAGATAGTCTTATGTTACAGGAAGCAAAAAACCCAAACACTTCCAGGTACAGGATAACATCTATGTTTGTAGAAAAGCCTGGAAGCACAGTGAGACACCACTTCACACCCATTAGGATGGTGATTATCCAAAAGACGGACACAGAGAAACCGGAACCCTCAGGCAGTGCTGAAGAATATAAAATCGTGCAGCCACCGTGGGAAAGCCTGGCGGCTCCTCACAAAGTTAAACGTAGAGTTACCCTACGATCCGGTAATTCCACTTCTCAGCACACATCCAAAAGGACCAAAAGCAGGACCTCAAGATTTCTGTAGACCCATGTTGACAGCAGCATTATTCACAAGAGCCAAATGCTGGAAACAATCCAAATGTCCATCAACGGATGGATAAACAAAATATGGTCTACACATACACTATTCAACCATAAAAAGGAATGAAGCTCATACACATTATAGCCTGGATGCACCTTGAAAACAGGATGGCAAGTGAAAGAAGCCAGACATCACAGACCATGGGGTGTCTGATTCCATCTATACGAAATGTCCAGAATAAGCCAATCCACAAAGACAGAAAGCACATGAGCGGTCACAACGACCAGGGGGAGGGGGAAGTGGGGAGTTACGTTTAATGGGGACAGTTTCTCCTTGGGATGACGAAAAAGTTCTGGAAATGGACCCAGGTGATGGTTGCACAGCGCTGTAGATGTACTTAATACCACTGAATTGTACACTGGAAAATGGTAAAAGGATAAATTTACATTCTGTATATTATACCGCAATAAAAAAAGACTAGAAGTCCACACAACAAAACATGTAGTTGACTTTTGAGTGGCAGAATTATAAAGATCATGTCTCCCTTCCTCTTTACTCTTACAGATTGCATAACAAACATGTGTTACTAATTGAGGGGAAGGGCAGTGCATATAATTAGCTTTAGTTTACAAAATAATGCAAAATAATACAGTTCATAGCACTTTAGCACACCGCAGAGCCTTCTGACAGGAGGGCCCCCCACGTCTGGGTGGTGAACACAATCTTGGCAGGGGTGCTGTGCTCACCGGGCCGATACCTGTCCCAGTCACTGTGCGGTCACCATCCCAGCAGGGTCAAATGACCCACCTCTATCTAGGCTTCTTCCTGGTCCTTTCTGGGGCTGAGTCCCTGAGGAGGCTCGGCACAGGGCTCGGGAAATCTCTCCTGACTGCTTGGAAGCCCTGCACCACACCATCACCTCTGCACTGACCTTGACATTTACTGTTTATTCTCACACCCATCCCATGAGACAGGCAGGATTTTCCCTTTCATGGATGTGACAACCAAGAGTCAGCAAGACTTGATAACCTGCCCCAGGACCGGGAGCTGAGGACTGAGGTTGCTATTATTGCCAGAGACACAGGGAAGGATGTTTTAAGCTCATGTGAGCTTCACACAAGCGCCCAAGCGTTCTCACTTGCAATCCCGTGCTCCCCCTGCCACACCTCCCTGCCTTCTGATTTCTCAACACGGCACAGCTTGACAGAACCCAACATAGCTTCCTCCAGGAACTGGCAGTTAACAGAAACTTCTGGCCATTATCTGGCTGAATGTCACACACAAATGCAGTAAGAATTTGTATGAAGGACCGCTCTCCTAAACCCAATTAGTAGCTCCTGCCTCATGAATCTCCTCATCCCAAAAGACAAGGGCCTAGAGGCCCTGGCAAAGTCTCCGGCTGCCTGATCCCCTTCTTTGGCCTCTCCCATACCCTCGGCCTTCCTGCTGGAGATCCAGGCGGCCCGGGGCCACCTGGAGGCCCCGTTCCCAGCTCACTTGAGGGTGTCCAGCATCCCAAACACCTGCGTAAAACGCTCTCTGTCCAGGACGCGTCCATACCGCAGCGTGAGGTAGAAGGTCTGCTTCCCGCTGTACTGCTGGAGGCGCACAAACAGCTCCTGGGGCCGGTCCTTGCTCTCCGTCATGGGGATCACATCTGCCACGGGCCAGTCCGTGTCCTGCCGCCGGCCCCAGAAGGTCAGGTGGGCTACCCGCAGCACGGTGCCTGCCTCATTCACATACAGGATACCCACCAGCCTCCGGAGGAAGTGGCTCATCCAGCAGAGCATGGCCAGGGCGAAGCCAGCTATCCCGCCCGCAAAGCACAAGGAGCCGAGAGTCACGAGGCCATGCGAGTACCAGTAGAAGCCAGGTGGCAGGGCCAGCAGCGTCAGGGCCGTCTGCGCCACCTTCAGCTGGGACAAGTACCCGAAGGCTCGGATTGCATCGAACCGGTAGACCATCTGGAATTTCTCTGTCTGTGTGCCTGCAGGCTTCTCCTTCAGGGTGGGGGTCCTGCTCCCCACCCACCTCCCAGGATCCTGCCCAGGGTGGCACCACACCCTGCAGACAGGCCTTCTCCATGCAGCTGGGCCTGCCAACCGTGGCACAGCTCTGAGGAGGGCAGCCTGGAAGGGAGACAGGACACCGTTGCTCTCGAGAACAACCATGCTAATCACAAAATAAACATCTGCAGAGCATCTTACCCGGAGTCTCCTGCCGATCCTGTGAGGTTGCTATTATTGCCAGAGACACAGGGAAGGATGTTTTAAGCTCATGTGAGCTTCACACAAGCAGTGCAAGAGGGGTGCCATTACAGCTGACCCTTGAACAATGAAGGGGTTTGGAACCCCAACCCCCAAGCAGTCAAAACTACACATACAACTTTTGACTCCTCAAAAACTCAACTACCAATAGCATAGTGTTGGCCAGAAGCCTTACCAATAAATCCATTAACACGTATTTATTGTTACATGTATTATATACGGCATTTTTACAATAAAGTCAGCTAGAGAAAAGAATATTAAGAAAACCATAAGAGAAAATACATTTACAGTACTGTATTAGTGATACCATTAAGTTTATCTTGTTTCCAAGATGAATTGTCAGTACCCACATCAACACTGTCTTATAAGACACAAAACACTATAGATAGTACACATATTACTGACACTAGACACAAAAAAGGAAGGATAATAAGAAAGGGAGATTCGTTATTGATTTATAAGAACAATGATCCATGGATTGGTAATAAAGCAGCAGTAATAGGGTTGCTTTATGACAGCCTAGTGTAATCGATACTATTGTTTCCGAGGAGCCTGGTCTATACGCCAATGAATGAATCCTTATAAACTTCTGATGGCATATAGTATATTACAGTCAGGTTCAGAATACAGTATCGGAAACAGTTACTTTTTAAAAAAAGAACCACTTAGCCATGATGATAGGCTAATACGCATTTTCTTCAATTACTGGGGGGGGGAGGGATGGAGGGAGGGGGAGAGAAGGGACATCCTGCAGGGTAATTAAATCTTTGAAAGCAAAAAGCAAAGTTACAAAACAGTAAGAAGACACACTGTTAATTTTATATTAAACATCACTCACAGCCTCTAAGGATAGGCTACCCACTTCCAAAGGAGGCTTTCCAAAGGAGATTTTCACATGAAGACACTCACTCACATGAGCAACAGGGAAGTTTAAGTGGACGGCACAATGACTATTCACTATTTATTATACGGAAGGGGATCAGCGGGTAAGTCTTCATCCTTGTTGTCATCCTGCTGAGTAGGCTCAGGGTGAGGAGGCAGAAGGGCTGGTCTTGCGGTCTCAGGGGTGGCAGAGGTGGGACAGGTGGAGGGGGCAGGAGGGCAAGCAGGAGAGGCAGTTACACTCGGCGTAACTTTATGGAAATACATCGTAATTTCTGTCTGACTTCTTTGCTTTTTCATTTCTCTAAAGATGTTTCTGTACGGTACCAATCCCTCTTCCACCACCTGCTTTAGTCTCAGTGCCCGGATCACAGAAGGGTCCATGTTGTAAAAGAAGTCAAACGCCGTCTTGAATAATCGAAACCCTTCTGCCAGGTTGTCTAATGTCAACTTGTTTTCTGGCCCTGCTGCTTCTATATCTTCCTCATCTGGCACTAGTCCGGAAGCTCTCATCTCCACCAAGGCGCCTTCAGTTAACTCCTCTGGTGTGGCGTCTATGAGCTCTTGATGTGGGAACTCACCGGCGGCGTCTCGGTCGGCAGAAGCTGCTTCTCCTGCTATCTTAACATTTCTTAAGCCAAACCTCTTCCTAAAATTATCAAACCATCCTTTGCTGGCATTAAATTCTCCAGCTTTAGTTCCTTCGCCTTCCTTTTGCTTCAAGTTGTCATATAACGACTTAGCTTTTTCACGAATCATACTAGAGTCTATAGGGATGCCTTTCTTGTAGCAATCCTGCACCCACATAAAAGCTGCATTTTCAATACGAGATAAAAGAGTATCTCGTAAAAAGTGCAAGGTCTTCGCGCCTGCTGGTGTAGCTGCCACAACAGCTTCACGGATTTCCTTTTCTTTTTTTACAATGGTCCTCACGCTGGACTCATTTATTTTGAAATGGCGGGCAACCGCAGCTGCAGACTTCAATCTACAGTACATATCGAGCAATTCAACTTTTTCTTGTAACGTCATGACTTTTCTCTGCTTCTTGGGAGCACTTCCAGAATCACTAGTGGCATTTCGTATGGGTCCCATGGTGTTATTCAAGGTTTACGACATTGCACTAAACACGATGAGAAATACGCGAGAACCACCGGATCACTTTTTACTGCCATTCGCAATTGACCAGCAATGAAGTGCTCAGGCAGAGATGATTAGCAACACACACCGTGTTAAGCACATACCACACTTGAGCTCACCACAACAGCAACAGGGAGTGGCTATGGAATTATTACAGTAGTACAGTATGTACAGTAGTTAATTTTACGCAGTTAGGATTTAATACTGCATCTTCATGTTTGTTTCTGTTTCTCTCGACTATGAATGATGCCGTGTACAGTCTGTAAGCCTCTGTGCGCATTCTGATAAACTTTTTATAACAAACTTGTGTATACTTTATGGTAGTAAATAAAATAAAGTAGTATCTACCTGTATTTTAGGCATTCATGACATACCTTTTTATTTTTTCCGTATTTCTAGGCTACGCAGTTCGTCTGCCAGGTTTTTCAAATTGTTGCAAATCTCCGAAAAATTTTCCAAAGTATTTATTTTCAAAAATCTGCATAGAGGTGGACCCACACAGTTCAAACCCAAATTGTTCAAGGGTCAACTGTATTTCCACTTTACCACTGAGGAAACTAAACACAGAGAAGGTCAGAAATTTGTCCAAAGACACACAGCCAGTGAAGGGGGCAGAGTCTGACTCTCAAACTGGTCCTCTTTCCTTCAGGCAGTTCAAAGAGGTACAACAAAGGTGGTAGAGCCTTCATCCATTCAACAAATATCTAGGGACGGCCAACTCTGGGCTGGGCACTGAATTCATTAGGCTGTGGGAACATTTTCCCCAGCAGGAACCAATGTCCTAAAAGGTAACAAATCCCTGCGATACTTAAAATAACCTCCCTATTTTCTGTCAGGTTAAAGCATCATCTTCCGTGCTGAAAGGGAAGCGCTGTTTTCTGAGCCCAGGTTGGGGGCGGGGGGCGGGCCGGGAGGCGCCAACCCGCAGCACAAGGGTTTTATCAGGTGCACGGTTATACACCTCGCGGAATGCAGTGAAAGATGCTCCGGGCTTGGGGGCCTGATCTGGGTTCCGATCCTGACTCCTACAGTCACTAGCTGTGGCTCCTTGGGCAAGTTCCTCCACTTCTCTGGGCCTCGGTTTCTTCTTCTTTCACAATGGGGATTCACAACATACCAAATGAGACAGTGGTTTCAAAGCCCTCAATTGCACTTGGTGGACCCGAGGATCTGATGCACCGGGACAGCACTCAGTGAATTTTAGTGCGCGCTACTGTCGCCCCACGTGACCCAAGCGCAGGAAGGCGCGGCACAGAAAGCCTTAACCTACGCCGGAGGTCCCCCACCCCCCGCGGATTCTCCGAATCAGAACCCCTGGAATCCGCTTGCCTGCCCAACCTGGACCACGACCCCCAAGGCGCACCACTTCCCGCAGTTCCCGCCACACTCCTTCTTACCATGGCCCAGCTACCTGCCGCCGGAAGTGAATCCCCTCTGCCCCCGGAACTTCTAACGGCGCCTGCTCGGCAGTAATAGGACGCCGTGTTGGCGCGTTGCATTCTGGGATTTGTGGTTCCGAAAGAATATCTGACGCAAGTCCCAGGTACCGTGGGAGTGGATCCTCCTCCTCCCAGCGTGCCCTGCGGCACGGGGGGGGGCGGGGGCGAACCCGGAAGTTCTGGGCCGAATTCCTGGTTGCCAACAAGTCCCATCCAGAGTGGGTGGAAAACGGCGACATGGCGGCGTCCGCCCGAGCACTATGCCTCTTCGACGTGGACGGGACCCTGACGGCCCCGCGACAGGTAGGCGGCGCCCGGCGGGCTGGCGGCAGCGGGTGCAGACCCTCAGGGTGCTCGGAGACATGGGACGGGGCCGAAAAACCCTTGAAAGCGAAAAACGTGTATGGGGTTGGAAAACGCAGTTCTGGACTCTCACCGCATGCCCTGGATTTGAACCCCAGCTCAGCCCCTTGCCAACTATGTGCCCTCCTCAGTCCTGTCACTTGTGAGCTGTACCTTGTAGCCTAATATGAAAAACATAGGTTTCCAGGTCAAACAGACCTAATAGAGTGTCAGCTGTATCCTCTTGACAGCTGTCTGACCTTGAGCAAGTCACTTAACCTCTGAGTCTCAGCATCCACGGCTTTAAATGGGGACCTTCCCAGTTCCATATGGTGTTTGTGAGGGTCGAATGAAATCGAATAAATTCATAAAAGTATCTTGGGTTCGGTAGGCTGTGTTCAGTAATAGTCAATAAATATTAGCTGCTGCCACCACCCCCTATCTCAGGTCCCTTCTCCAGCAGGAGTGAGCAAGGAGACCTAGATTTTTTCACACTGCCTGCTGAGAGCCCCTTTGAACTCTAGGAAGCTTGCTTCTCACTTCTAGATTTTGCTGCTCCAGGCATGGACATAGGTTTCGGTTAAGATCAGCATTTGTGATGAAGCTCATGCTGACCTCCTTGCACGGACTGGTCACTGAACAACAGCCATTCAAACTTAAGACTGGGCCCAAGTGACCTCACTAACTTCACTTTCTATCCCTACCTTCTTAATTTTGGCCGGAGGGTGGCAGTGGTGTGCTCCAGACGTCCACATTAAATGTGTGTGACCGGATAACATCATTTTGCCATTCTGAGCCATAGGTTCAGTGTATCTAGTGATGAAACTCAACTGCAAGTTCTTCAGAGGCCCTTTCTGACTCAGATTCAGTGACCCAACACACACTTCTGGACTGTTAGAGAATCTCTTGGCCATCTAGAGCCAAAGTCAGCAACTAATTGTTTGTAAAGAGCCAGGTAGCAAAAATTTTTGTCTTTGCCAACCACACGGTCTGTAGTAACTACTCAACTTTAATGCAAAAGCAGACATAGACCTTATGTAGACACAGCGTGGCTGTGTTCCAATAAAACGTAATTTTTTTAAAAAATATTTTATTTATTTATTTGACAGAGACACAGCAAGAGAAGGAACACAAGCAGGGGGAGTGGGAGAGGGAGAAGCAGGCTTCCCGCTGAGCAGGGAGCCCGATGCGGGGCTCCATCCTAGGACCCTGGGATCATGACCCAAGCCAAAGGCAGACACTTAATGACTGAGCCACCCAGGTGCCCCCCCAATAACTTTTTTATTTATTACAAAAACAACCAGCTGCTCAATTTGGCCCATGGGCTGTGATGGTTCACATTCCAGACCTTTTTCCATGATATCATTGGACCTTCTCAACCTTTCTCCTTCTTTCATCCTGTGCAGGATAATTTCTGTTACCCATTTAAACATAAGGAAACCGAGACTCCGTGAAACCATGACCTCGATTTCTCACAGCAAATCTGGTACAAGTCTCAGGTTGCTGGGTGTTGTTATTTGCTAAGTTTGCCATTTTCTGCCACCGCTCTAAGATGGGGGCTGTTCTGGCTGCTGGTTATGCCATTCCGGAAGGTGCTTCTGCCTTCCAGAAAGAATCGGCAGATGAGCATGAAGTATGAAATAGCAAAGAAGGGGCGCCTGGGTGGCTCAGTTGGTTAAGCCACTGCCTTCGGCTCAGGTCATGATCCTGGAGTCCCGGGATCGAGTCGCACATCGGGCTCCCTGCTCGGTGGGCAGTCTGCTTCTCCCTCTGACCCTCTTCCCTCTCGTGCTCTCTATCTCTCATTCTCTCTCTCTCAAATAAATAAATAAAATCTTAAAAAAAAAAAAGAAATAGCAAAGAAACCCACAATGTATTCCCATAACATGATAGTCTTTGCCGCAAACTAATAATTTTAACACTGAAAAAAAAGAAGTCTAACAAAAGAAAGTTGTTTCTGTGTACCGGGTGTTCCAGGTAAAAACTAAAAATATTTTAGCAAGAGATTTATTCATTATAGAATAATACCTTCCCTCCCTCAATACATGCATTCTCAAACACTGATAAGCATATTACAGTCCAGAAGCAGAAGAATGAGTTATCTTACAGCTGCTGAAACACAATATGACATAAACAGATAAAATCTAATTAGATTGGAGTCCAGAGCTTCACAATATGACTATAAGCCTGAGTGAATTGTTTTCCGGCTTTATGTCATAAAAAATTCACATACAGGGGCACCTGGCTGGCTCAGTCAAAGGTGTATATGACTCTTGATCTCAGGGCTGTAAGTTTGAGCTGCACATTAGGTGTAGATATTACTTTTAAATCTTAAAAAAATAAAATTAAAAGGAAATTCAAACATACAGAATCACTGAGAAACTAGTATACACAACAGCGGCATCCCTACCACTTAAATTCAAGTTAATGTCAGTCGTCGTTGAATTTAAGTGGTGGGGATGCCGCTGTTGTGTATACTAGTTTCTCAGTGATTCTGTATGTTTGAATTTCCTTTTAATTTTAGACATTAACGTTCTTGTTTATTCTTCGCTGTACCATGTCCTAAGCTGCAGTCATCATGGTACTTCACCCCAAAATATTTGAGCCTGGATCTCTTGAGGACATCTGTGGTGACCATAGTGCCATCATCACCATCACCAATGAAAATTGTCACCAGTTCCCTCCTATTATTTAATGCCCCAGTCTAACAGTCGGCAAATGTTTTTCTGTAAAAGGCCAGATAGTAAAGAGTTGAGACTGTGCCGGCCATGTGGTCTCTGTCACAACTACTCATCTGTGTCCTTGTGGCCACAGACACTACGTAAATGAATGGATATGGCTGTGTTGCAATCATACTTCACAGAACCCGACGGTGGGTCATCGCCGACCCACGCATCCTATTCTGCTGACTCTTCTTTACTCCCATCAGTTTTCCTCTGTTGTCCCCAAAAAAGTCTTTCATAGTTGGTTTTTACAGAAGGTAAATTTTTTAACATGCTTTGACCTCAGTTTCAAGCTTTTGGGTCTTTCTCTGTGGTTTATTTTGTCTAGGATGATTTATAAAGAACTCCTTGTGATTAGCAACACAAAAGTTATTTGGGAACATCACAACAACTTTGTGATTATTTTGCTCCAAAGATCTCTCCTGCAGTGGGTAGTTTAGATGCTCTGTTGTGCTCACAAGCAGCTGGGTCTTATTTCCTGTCAAAATATATTTGCTGCCACTTGGAAGTGAGAAGGTGCCTTCTAACACACACACATTGCAGACACACCTGATGGCCACAGAGTGGCCACATCTGAGTACCACAGAGCTCATCAGTGTGCACAGGGGTTAAGATAAAATTAATTGCAGCTTTGGGTTCTGCTTGAAGATGGAAGTATTGCATTTTTAATATTTTGCAATCCAGGGAATCTTGCCCACTTCTTTCCATTCTGACGTCAGGAGTCTTCCCCACTTCCTGCCATTCTAACATCATTCTGACACTCGGAGGGCTCCAGGACCCATTTTCACAAGGCTATGATTCATAGAGGCCACTGGTGCACTTCTAGATTTTGTCTGCTAGGTCAAGATTCCACCGGAAGGTGTAGAAAAGATTGTGTTGTTATAAGCCCCTCTGTACGATTTTATTAATCCTATGTGTATATTACTCTAAAACGGTTTCTTTAAGAAAAAGAGAAGAGGGCGCCTGGGTGGCTCAGTTGGTTGAGCGACTGCCTTCAGCTCAGGTCATGATCCTGGAGTCCCGGGATCGAGTCCCGCATCGGGCTCCCTGGTCGGCGGGGAGTCTGCTTCTCCCTCTGACCCTACCCCCTCTCATGTGCTCTCTCTCTCTCTCATTCTCGCTCTCTCAAATAAATAAAATATTTAAAAAAATGTTTTAAAAAAAAGAAAAAGAGAAGAATTGAACTCTAGACGTTTTTGTATTGAAGTTTGTTTCTGTTTTTAATTTCTGCTAACTTCATTTCTAAAGATAGCCTGTGTGAGGGCCGCCTGGCTGGCTCAGTCAGTGGAGCAAGCAACTCTTGATCTCCAGGTCATGAGTTCAAGCCCCACGTTCGGGGTAGAGTTTACCTAAGAAATAATAAATTAGGGGCGCCTGGGTGGCTCCGTCAGTTAAGCATCCTACTCTTGATTTCAGCTCAGGTCATGATCTCAGGGTTGTGAGATCGAGCCCTGCATTAGGCTCTCTGCTGGGCATAGAGCCTGCTTAAGATTCTCTCTCTTAAAAAAAAAAAAAAAAAAAAAATTAAAGATACCTCATGTGAATATACAATTCGGATTGATAAAAGTAACAACTTAAAAAAATGAATTGTGATTTGTCTTAATATAGGAATATTTTTTCATGTTCATAATTTCTTTTGAAATAGTGCACAGTTTGGACTTTAGCATAAAATTATACCATCGAGACCACTGTTGATAGGTAGATATACCATTGAGCTTTTCTTTTAGGAGAGACTAAAAAAATCTAGTGATCTTACTTCTGTACTTTATTTTTGGTTTTGTATAATTATAAAAAACCAATTCTGAACATCTTCTTTAATCTTATCGTGTTATTTTGTTTTAAAATCAGCAACTTGGGGCGCCTCGGTGGCTCAGTCGTTAAGCGTCTGCCTTCAGCTTGGGTCATGATCCCAGGGTCCTGTGATCGAGCCCCGCATTGGGCTCCCTGCTCTGCGGGAGGCCTGCTTCTCCCTCTCCCACTCCCCCTGCTTGTGTTCCTCTCTCGCTGTGTCTCTCTCTGTCAATTAAATAAATAAAATCTTTAAAAAGTAAAAAAATAAAATCAGCAACTTATATTTGTAAGTGGAGTACAGTATAACATTTGAAAGGAATGCTCTAGATCTATGTGTATCAGCCTGGAATGGTCACCGCAACTCACTGCTCAAAACACAAGTCACTGCACAAGACAGAATGAATCCTTGTGTTTCAGGGCACCTGGGTGGCTCAGTCGTTAAGCGTCTGCCTTCGGCTCAGGTCATGGTCCCAGGGTCCTGGGATCGAGCCCCGCATCAGGGTCCCTGCTCCGCGGGAAGCCTGCTTCTCCCTCTCCCACTCCCCCTGCTTGTGTTCCCTCTCTCATTGTCTCTTTCTCTGTCAAATAAATAAATAAAAACTTTAAAAAAATAATGAAAAAAAAACCAGAATCAGAGTACAACTTCTTTAAAAAAAAAAAATGAGTCCTTGTGTTTCAGAAATAAGACCTATTTGGGGCACCTGGGTGGCTCAGTCGGGTAAGTGTCTGCCTTTGGCTCAGGTCATGATCCCAGGGTCCTGGGATCGAGCCCCACATCAGGCTCCCTGCTCTGCGGGAAGCCTGCTTCTTCCTCTCCCACTCCCCCTGCTTGTGTTCCCTCTCTAGCTGTGTCTCTCTCTGTCAAATAAATAAAGACCTATTTGTGCGCATATAGACAAGTATATGAACGCAGGAATAGCTGGAACAGCACACAACAGCTGTTAATATATTGCTTGTGTCTTTTAAGCTAGGTAAAAAGTAAAATTTAACACATTTTTCTCTAGTAAAAAGTTGATGTCCCCAAATCACAACTAAAACATTTGGACTTACTACAGACCTAGGGCCTGAATTGGCATATATGAAAGTAAGGGTTGTGTCTCTCTTAAGAGTTTTAGTCTCTGGTTACTTTACGGCTCATGACTTTTTATTTTCCTTTTTGAAATGTAGAAAATTACCAAAGAAATGGATGGCTTTCTACAAAACTTGAGGCAGAAGATCAAAATTGGAGTAGTAGGCGGGTCGGACTTTGAGAAAGTGCAGGAGCAGCTGGGAAAGGATGGTAAGTAAACGCTACTTGTTGTTCACGTTTGGTTAATGACAGCTTCCTATGAGGACGTCAGGACCTGTAGCCATTAAGTATCTTAGGCAGGCCCGAGCTCTCCTCCCCGTGTGGCAGGCTTCCTGCTGCCTTGTTTGGACAAACATTCTCTCTGCTTTCTCTTTCCTCTGTTCTTAATGCTATAAATAAATTTCTGGAGTTGGTGGTGGACCACTCGGGACTCAGATACATGGGTGGGGTCGCCCCAGTGTTTGAATGTGTGTGTCACTGCCTGGAATGCTTCACATTGTCCCCGTCCACTCTCCTAGCTCAACTCAGGCCCCATCTCCTGACTGTACTTCTCACCCAGGTGTTGAGGTATCTCTGGGTCTAGGGTCCCCTCTCCGTTGCCCTCACACAGGGTTTCCCAAAGTTCCCTAATCATGACTCACCCAGGCTCCTCCCCTAACTATTAAACCAGGAGCTCCAGCGCAGGACTCCAGGAAGCCAGGGGTTCTTACTGGCCCCTTCACTGGAGATGCTGAGGTCTCTGGGGCCTTTGAATTGTATTTTAGCAGCCCCCCACCTCCCGGGAGATTATGATGCACAGCCCTGCCAGCAGAGCACTCTCTGCTCGCTGGAAACACTCTGGTTATCCGTCCGTTTTTCTTGAACACTACGACTGTGGATTCCTCATTTTGTAGCCCCAGGGCCTCCAGGGTGCCTGGCCTATAAGAACTAGAAGGTGGAGAGATGGATGAGTTGATCGTTCTTCTGGACACTGTAGACATTTTGGACCGGCTCATTCTCTGTTGTGGGGGGCTGTGCTGTACACACTGTAGGATGTTCAGCAGCACCCCTGGGGCCTCCACCCATGGGATGCCAGGAGTACCTCCATGCCCAGTGTGACAACCAAAACTGTCTCCAGACATGGCCAAGTATCCTCTGGGGGGGGCAGTATCACCCCCAGTAGATAACCAGTGTTTTAGCTATAATATCTTACAGTCCAAATCAGCATAAGCTGTATGTATTGGATTAGTTACTCTGAGCATAATCTGTGCATTCTCTTTAAAGCTTTCTGTTCTGCTTACACTTAATTTTCCCCATAGATGCTCTACTTAGAAACACTAGAAACAACATAATGGGGCACATCAAGCCCCGGAAATCCTGTTACCCGGCCCTGATATCCCTTTCTGCCTCTGGCCATATTTTTAACCACAGGCTCAGAGAGGTTTTATGTCAGGGTAGGGCACTGCCTGTAGATTTCAGGGTGTGAGTCAAAACAACAGACTCAACACATTCACAAGCTAGAAGAAAGTTGAAGACCCAGCTGTATCAGAATCACCTGGGGAGCCTGTGAAAATACAGATGTGAGGGCCCCCCCCAAAACACAGGGCACTTGGGAGTCTGCATTTTAACAAGCAACTAAAGTTTGAGAACCCAGTTAGATTTATGTGAGTGGTCTCCAAATCTGGCTGCATGTAAGAATCACCTAAAGACCTTTTTTAAAAAATTGGGTTTTTTTAATTCTGATTTTTAGCCTGGCCCTGCATGTTCTGATTCAGAAAGCCTGAGAGCAGAGCCTGGGAATCTGCCCATTTTCATCACTGCCCTGGGGATGCGGGTCCACAGGGAGGCTTAGGGGCCATCCTTGGCTCCCGTCTTCCTCTCCAGGTAGAGGGGGCTGAAGGCAGAGACGTGAGAGGGCCCACCAGCAAGTCTCCCATCTCCAGCCTGATGACCGTCTTGTACATTTGTAATTAGTCTTTTTGTTTTTTTTTTTAATAGGTTTTATTTATTTGACAGAGAGAGACACGGCGAGAGAAGAAACACAAGCAGGGGCAGTGGGGGAGGGAGAAGCAGGCTTCCCGCGGAGCAGGGAGCCTGATGCGGGGCTCGATCCCAGGACCCTGGGATCATGACCTGAGCCGAAGGCAGACGCTTAACGACTGAGCCACCCAGGCTCCCCCGCAAAGTCTTTTTTAAAAAAAGAATTTTTTTTTTTTTTTTAAGGAGCTTTTTCCCCACCTGTTGAACCTGTTAAGACGACATACCCTTTCACAGTCCTTACTGGAGTTAGTTTTATTGGCGATACATTTAATCGAGAAATAGAAACTCCAGCTTCAGTTCCTTTCTTTTGTTTCGGTTGCAGTGGTTGAAAAATATGATTATGTGTTTCCCGAAAATGGCCTGGTTGCATACAAAGATGGGAAACTCTTGTGTAAACAGGTAGGTTCTTGAGTATCCAGGCGACCATATATGGTTATTAAAATGGTTTCTAAAAAGATATTTGACATTGGATGCTTCTGGAGAGGTGTATCTGGGAGGTGAGGAGCAGGAGGAGTGAATCCCCACCCCACATTCTTTTCTACATCTTGAATGTTGAACCATGTGACTATCACATATTCCAAATTGTGAACTAAATTTTTTTTTCTTTAAAGATTTTATTTATTCATTTGAGACAGAGATACAGAGAAAGAGAGAGAGCATGAGCAGGGAGAGAGGCAGAGGGAGAGGGAGAAGCAGGTTCCCCGCTGAGCCAGGAGCCTGATGTGGGGCTCGATCCCAGGACCCTGGGATCGTGACCTGAGCCGAAGGCAGACGCTTAACCATCTGAGCCACCAAGGCGCCCCTGAACTAAATTTTTATCATTGTTTTTTAAGGATACGTAATCTGATATTTCTATTATGCGAGCAGGGACTAGGATAGACTGCCTCGCTACAAGCATTTTTAAGAGGTACTGTGTAGCTCTTATTAGTAACAAGATCATTCCACTCAGACATAAAAAGTCTAAGGGGAACAAATATACTTTTTGTCAGAGTCTCTAGATATTTTAAATGAATAAAAGCAGTAATAAACTCTTTGGGCCTTCCGTGAAGCATTCGAAAGATAATGTGTACAAAAGTCTTGAGTCATGGAGCAGGAAATGCTTTAACTAAAGCCCTTGGTGGTTTTCCTTATGTTTGCAAGCAGGGAAAGAAGGAAAAAGGTAGTGGGGCATGTCACCCTGGCCGCCACATCAGCCCAGTGACCCTCGCCAGTAGTGGCTGAAGCCCCGGGTTTGCTGTAAAGTTATTTTGGGAAAATGCATCCCCCTAAATCAAGTAACCCCAGTATTTTCTTTATCTAGAGTATTCAAGGTCACCTGGGTGAGGCCCTAATCCAAGATTTAATCAACTACTGTCTGAGCTACATTGCAAAAATTAAACTCCCGAAGAAGAGGTGGGTTTGCTTTTAGCAAAGAGGCTGCGTGCGCTACCATGGGGAGGAGTGGCATTGGCTGGGTTGGTGCTGATTCCAGTCCCAAGCTCCGTGCTTAGTTAGTGAGACATTGCTGGAAACCTTCTAGTGGAGGAATGAATCCATAAATGATGGTTTTGCTACATAATGGGAATCGGAAACTAGATGCTTGCCGAGGCTGTGGGTCCGGGGAAAGGCCTCTAAAACCGCATTGTGAGAACAACATCAGCCCCAAACCCGGGAGTCACCCCGGAGGCCCAGGCCACACTCCATGCACAGCCCTGCTCGCTCGGCCCATGGTGTGACATAAAATCTGCATTAATCAAATTAATCATTTGAAAGTCGGATTTCACATTGTAAAATACCATCACTTCTGGCTTCTGTAGTCTCTGAAGACCTGTCATTTCAAATTCGCACAAGATCCTCCCTGAATTCAGGCAACAGAGCTGAGACCCACCTGGATCAGCATTTGCCCACACCTCTCGTCAGTCTCACTGCGCCCCACACACAGGTCACACGGGCGCAGGAAGGCTTCAGAGGAGTCCAGATCCTCAGGGAGGAATTGAACACTTGATAAACTCCCTTAATCCTAGTTTTTGAGAACAGAAGCCTTTTTAAAATGCATCAGCCTCCCTCCCTTGGGAATGAGAGTAATACTATGTCCTTGAGTTGGGGAGAAATCATCGAGCTCTCTTCTGACAATTTAGCACCACAGTCCTAGGGTCACCCCTGGGAAGGGTCACCAGGGTCCCTGTAGAAGGTATAGGGGACAGGGCCAGTCCATACCAGCTCCAGGACATCCCAAGTGGGGGATTCTTGAAAAAAATTCTTCGATGCACCTGTGTTGTATCATTTGCTTCTGTGCAAGTGGAGCACAGCCGGGGAAAGGATCCAGCGGTTGAGATTTTGCTTTTACTTTACCTAACGAGTATTCATTGCTTCCTAGTTAACAAAAACTGCGACATTTGGTTTTCTCAGGACGCTTTAGAGGTAACCACATGACTGCATCAGTCCCTTTGTGAGGTACCCAGAGTCACACAGCCTCGCAGGAGGCCACGCTGGCCTTGAAGCAGGCCCTCAGCTCAACAATGGGCCGGGGTCCCTGGGATTTACAGGTGGCTGGTGGCTCAAGATCAGGGCTGTGTGCGGAAGACAGAAAGGGCCCAGGGAGGAGGTTTGAGAGGCTCATAGGCGTCAGCGTTTAGAACTAGAAGATACTTCTGAGCACACAGTCACAAAACACTTAAATTGCATTGTATGGATAAATAGCTCACAGTTATTTGAGCTTTTAAGAAACTATTTTGAGATTCAAACTGGAAACACGGTGGGGGGGAAATGGTTTTTTGTTTTTTTTTTAAAAATCTTTATTCAAAATAAGTAAAGTGTTGAGCTGTTCTCATTTTCTGTGATCAGATCAACCATTTAGTGGCCACGCGGTGTTTCCTCGGTAATGAGGGAGGAGGCTCGCCAAGCAGCCCTCTGAGCCTTTCCCCGTAGCTTTGTGTGGTCAGATCGGTGGGTTCAAGAGGTCACTAGCAAAGGGGTCAGGCGCATGAATTTTCAGACTCCTCAGGGAACTTGAGAGATGGTAATCATTTCCATAGCTCTTTTTTTTTTTTATTTGACACAGAGAGAGAGCACAAGTAGGCAGAGAGGCAGGCAGAGGGAGGAGAAGCAGACTCGCCAGCTGAGCAGGGAGCCCAACGCAGGGCTCGATCCCAGGACTCTGGTATCATGACCTGAGCCAAAGGCAGATGCTCAACCGACTGAGCCCCCCAGGCGCCCCTCATTGCTCTTTATTAATGATAAAATTCACTGTCCAACAGAAATAATGCGGGCCACACGCAATGTTAGGTTTTCTGTAGCTGCATTAAAAAAAGAAAAAGGAACACCCGAAATTAATTTTAATCGTGTTTTTATTTAACTCGTTGTAGTCAAAATACAGTCATTTTAACACAGTCAACGTAAAACATTTCGAATGAGGATGACATTCCTTTTTCATGCTACATCTTTGAAAATCTAATCTCAGTTCAGATTAGCCTCATGTGGGCCGCGGCTGCCGTGTGGCTGAGCCCAGCCCTGTGAAATGCTGATCACACCAGCCCCTGCCTTCTGGAAATTTGAGCCCATTTACCCATCTGTAATGTCGCCCACATAAATGATGTCTCTCTGGGGCCTGTCCCCTTTCCTCTCCAGGGGTACTTTCATTGAGTTCCGAAATGGGATGTTGAACGTGTCCCCGATTGGGAGAAGCTGCAGCCAAGAAGAACGCGTTGAGTTTCACGAACTCGATAAAGTGAGCCCCTTGAACACAGCCTGGGTCTATGGGGATAAGATAAGGCGTGCAGCCTGGTGGCCGGCAGCTGAAGGGTGTTTTCTGAACTGCCATGCGCTAGATAATCGGTATCTTCTTGCTCTTCTCAGAAAGAAAATATCAGACAGAAGTTCGTAGCAGAACTGCAGAAGGAGTTTACAGGAAAAGGCGTCACATTCTCCATAGGTACCGTGCATTCAGGCGGGTTTCCTTCGGGCTTCGGTAACCACTTGCCAGGGGGTTTGCCGGGGGCTGGTGAGCTCTTGAAGTGGGCCTGTGCCCGGTGTGAAGGTGAGCAAGAGGGGTAGAGGGGCAAGCACTCCTGTGTGGTCAGCCCTCATGGAGACACCCCAGCTGCCAGGTTTGGTTCTAAAGTCTCTCCCAGCAGGATTCCTCCCCACACCTCTCCTCCTGGCCCAAAATAGCGCTCGGCCCAATAGATTCTGGAATCTCATCCTGGGTGAGCAGCAGGGATCCTTAGCAGTCAGTTGGGGTGGTTTTACAAATCAAGAAACCAAGGCCCTGGAAGGAAAGGGGACTTGGTCTAAGCCAACAGAGGTTGTATCTACAATGACGGCCTGGCGTGCAAAGGGTTCCGGTGTCCAACGGCCTTCCTCCCGCGGCACTGGCGTCTTGGCCTTGGTTTTTGGTAGAATATACTTGTCAGACACCTGAAGCGAACGCTGATGAGTCATTATGTAAAGCCCTCTTGTTTTACCACCTCCACTAAGTGTACAGTTGTAGGCAAACCGGAATCGCAAAGGGATTATGTCTGATAGACGAACGGGTAGATGTTCAAGTGTTCTTGAACTGCGAGGTGAACATCTCTCTGACAGAGCTTTCAGAGGGTTTCATTGCTCCTGAAAGCTGCCTGCAAATCACCTACCACGTGGTTTTCCTTTTCCCTGCAAGATGAGCTGTATGCAGCCTGCTTCTAGGCCTAGTACCCTGAGAGCCAGGGCGTGTTAAAGCTCAGGGTGGCCCAGCTGAATGAAGCTGTTATCAGCTTTTCCACCAGCGTGCTTCATTTAGACCCATGCGCTTGGCGCAGCACTTCAACACAAACGCATTCCTTGTTCTGAGCTGGTGGTCTGTCTCGCTTTTCGATTTTAGGTGAAATAATGCTGAAAAAAGCAATGCCTTATTAATTTCTAGAACTGGTCCCTAAAGTAGCATAAGTAGCGAACAAGGATGTTAAAAATCAAAGACCTTGGCCCTCCACTTGCTGACAAGTAGGCCGCACCTTCAGCAAAGTGCCCTTCACCTCCTCTCTACCTTTAGCTTGTGTGTCTTCCCCCCTCTCGGCAGGAGGCCAGATCAGCATTGATGTCTTTCCTGACGGCTGGGACAAGAGGTATTGCCTGAGACATGTGGAAAATGACGGCTATAAGACCATCTATTTCTTTGGGGACAAAACCATGCCAGTAAGTACGGGAGCATTTTTTTGGAGTTGGACTGTTCAGTTTGGGCTGGAAGAGGGGACATGGACAATGGGCCTTTTCCCCTCCCCCACGCGGTACGCACTGGCCCAGCTCACACTGAGTGGGGGATTCTGCAATTCAGGCTCCCTCCCTTTGCGCTCGCACACCAGACGCCTCAGTGGAGGCAGAAATGGAGCTCTTTGGAGGCTCGCTTCGCGGCCTTCCAGAATATCTGCCCCAGCGCTGCTGTCCGATCCTTTGTGCACTTCCAAGCTCCTGGCCAGTTTTATGTCATTTTTCCACTGTGTTTTTCCCCCAGGGGCGTTCGTTATGAGTTGGGCACGAGGCGTCCTAAATGGTAGGAAGACAGGAAATCTCACGAGTCTGAAATTCAAGATGCTGTGCCAGGGACTGTTTAGCAGTGGACATCACACACAGACGGTTTGGGGAGCTGTCCCCATCGGAAGTCCCAGGTCCCAGACTGATTCTAAATCAGGGCTGAGAGCAGAGCTGTGTCAGGCCAGCACCATTAGGAGGACTGCAGAGAGGGATTTCCCCAGAGCCACTGTGGCAGCAGGACAGGGCTCTCCTTGGGACAGGTGGGCCCCGAGAGGAGGTTTGGCACCAGCCACCCACTGCCCAGCCCTGGGCCTGTCTCCGGGCCCCTCCTTTAAATTCCTGTTGCCCTTTAGGCCTCTCTGCTTCCCTTTACACACTGCCCAGTAATGGGATACCTTGCCATCAGAGGTCCTGGTTTGGGCTTTGTGGCCATCCTGCACCCAGCAGGTGTGTCCTGGATGCTGCACATTCAGAGTTTTCTTATCCCTCTGGTCTCTGGTCCACTGCAGAGTACTTGCCGCTCTGCTGAGGTTTCTGGGGTGGACCTACCTGTCTTTCAGCAAGGTCTCTGCATATGGTCTTCTAGCATGAAAGGGACTTCTGATCAGTAAAGGCTCGTGTCCATCTGTCTAAATGATGAAACCAGGACTTGGGCACCTGGGTGGCTCAGTCAGTTAAGCATCTGACTCTTGATTTCAGCTCAGGGCATGATCTCAGGGTCCTGGGGTCAAGCCCCGCAATGGGCAGTCTGCTTGTCTCCTTCTTCCTCTGCCCTTCCCTGTGCTTGCGTTCTTTCTCTCTCTTAAATAAATTAATAAATCTTAAAAAAAACAAAAACAAAAACAAACAGGACTCAGAAAGGGTAAGTGACTTGTCCAGGGTCACACAGCTCACGCCAGAGCTGGTGGCACGAGAACAGACTACCTTGTCTTTAAGCACATAGGTTTTCCAGTCCAACAAACCATCCCTCCATTGTGGTGAGGAACATTCTCTTCTAGTTCCCAGACCACATGGTGCTGCTTTTCAGGAGGTGTAGCCTTTAGCCTCGTTCTTAGTGACGGAGAGAAGTGGTTTACAACCGTGTCCATTTGGTGAAATTCTTCGGCTGCTGAAATGCTTTGAATGCAGGCTTTGAAACAAGCGTCTGTCAGCCTTGGATGTCTCTTGAGAAAGCAAGCGCATGCACTCACACGTGGGATCTCAGGGATGGCCAGGTGCCTCTGCAGCCCTTCCAGCCCCGTGCCAGCCCTGGGGCCGGGAAGAGAGCTGTTGAGACAGGCGAAGCCAGGTTCTTAGTGATGATGCTCTTGCTGTGTGCACATAGCCGTCGGAAGCCTCAGCTGGGACTTTGCAGAATGGAATGCGGTTCTTGAGATAAGCAGAGAATGCCTGCTTTGGGGAATTCTCCATCTGGGAATTAGAGCATTTTCTGTGCTGTTTAGCTGCTACAGGACCACACATTGATTCTGTTTGTTTGGTTTTTAGTTCTACCTACTTTTTTAAAAGTGGTTACTAGTTACAGAGGTGTTTTTCCCGATTCTTAATGAACATACGTTCATCGTAGAGCATTGGAGAAAGTTTAATAAGTCACGTGGTCATACCTCCCAGCCTTTTCTGTGTGGGTGTATGCAACCCCCAAAGTGGACCCTGCATGCTCATTATTTGATTTTCTGCTTTGTTCTCAGTACGAATTTTATTTCCCCTTGTTAATGAATATTCTTCGAAAACGAGGTTTTCAGGGGCTGTATGACCCGTTTCCCTAGCAGAGGCCCTGGGACTGTGGTTGTTGACACGGTGGTGACAGTTCTCTGCCCTCTCTGATGCTGTCAGTCAGTGGTTTCCTGGAAATGGGAAGTGATGGTCCAGTCGTCTAAACCTTTAAACAGGCACAGAGCCTTCTAAACACTAGCTTTAAACTTCTCGTATTCAGTGATAGATTTTGAAAGCTGTTTTCTTTCTTTGCACCAAGGCAAATATTCTTACTGGTTTCCAGGGAAACAGCACTTGAGCTGAGAACTGTCAGTAAAAAGCCATTTCCCAGGCCTGCCTGGGTGGCTCACTCGGTTAAGCGTCTGACTCTTGATCTTAACTCTGGTCTTGATCTCAGGGTCATGAGTTCGAGCCCCATGTTGTGCTCCATGTTGGGCGTGGAGCCTACTTAATTAAAAAAAAAAAAAGCCATTTCCCTTCCAAGCACCACAGGCTTAGAGGCCTGCCTGGCAGCCTCCTCAGCCCTAGCAGCCACGTCCATCTGGCGGGATCTGATGTTACACAGAGCCCCTCCCCCCTTCCCTGCTTGGAACACCCCCAGAGAACAGGGTGAAGAAACTAGACATTGGCCCTTGCTTTTCTAAATGCTTGTCAGTACTGGAAAGCCCCACCCCCCCATTCCTGCCCATCAGCCACATTAACCAGGGTCTGTTAAAACCCAGCTCTGAGTGTAGCCTCAAGGCTCCGGGCCCAGCCTGGAGTGCCTTGGTTTGCTGCAGGGAAAGGGATGGCCAGGGAACAGAGAGGCACCCCACCCTGCTTTGCATGGCTTCAGGTGGGGGGGAGACTTAGGCAAGTGACTCCACCACCACCCCCCCAGCCTTTCCATATTCCCAGGCTAGACAGCTTCCGCTGTTTTAATGCTTCCTGGCTTTAAGGCAGTTGGAACATGAAAACATTCTAACACGTCATGAACATCGATAGCTGATTGACTTTTTGACTCAGCAGATCCTTTTAGGTGATTGATCTCTCTGGGGGGCACCCTGCCCTGCTGCAGGAGGGGACTGACCAAGTACACAGCGGCCCCACAACACGGCAGAATGCCCCATGGCTGTACAAACCGCTGATGCAGACCGATCTCTGGGATGTTTTATCAGGCGAGCCAAGTAAGGTGCAGAACAATAGAAGTAACATGCGCTACTTTTGTCTAAAGAGGGGGAAGTAATGTCTCTTCACGTTGCTTGTGAGTGCATAAAGGGAATGTGAAGGGACACCCAAGAAAACAGATGACAGACCTCCTGAGGGCTAGGGACAAGGATGGAAGAGACACTTAGCACTCTGTCCTTTTATTAAATTTTCAACTCTGTGAATGTGCTATCTATTGAAAAAGCTTTAAAATACCAAATTAAGAAAACTAAATTCTTTAGCTTCTAAAGCACTTCAGTCTCAGATTCTGAGCTGGGCACTTAGACGTTCTGTCCTCTGGTCCTTGGGCAGCCTGGTGGGGAGCATGGGACGGGCAGCAACGGGCTCCCTATGGGGCGGGGTGCAGTGCAGGGTCAGAGACCGGGTGGCATCCAAAAGCCTCTCGTCATTCTCCCACATCGCCTCCAAACTGCTATTAAATCGTGCAACACTTGGTTTTCCACAAACGTTAAAAAGGAAGATCTGTCTGTATTTTTTTCTTAAAAGATTTTATTTATTTATTTGACAGAGCAAGAGCAGACACACAAGTAGGAGGAGTGGGAGAGGGAGAAGCAGGCCTCCCGCTGAGCAGGGAGCCCGATGCGGGGCTCGATCCCAGGACCCTGGCATCATGGCCTGAGCCTAAGGCAGACGCTTAACGACTGAACCACCCAGGTGCCCCAAATAGGTCTTATTTCTGAAACACAAGGACTCATTTTTTTTTTTAAAGACGTTGTATTCTGGGCCCTCAGGTAACACGATCTAGCATCCATCCCTTCAGCTTTGTTCCCTTTGTCTTAATCTAGTGTGACCCGTGGTCCCTGTGCAAACCCAGTGTTTGGAATTTTCGGTTCTCTGAAGCCTAATTCTAGGGGAGGGCGCTCACACTAGCTTGCTTTGCGCTTCTGCTTCTCCCGACCTCCCTCTGACTCGGCATGCGAGCCCTGTACGGCCCCAGGGAGCCACAGGGGAGGCCAGGTCCCCTGGCAGGAGAGGAGGTTAAAGTCTGAAGGTGGTGGTGGTGGTGGTGGTGGTGCCGAGATGCACCTGCCGACTTTGCTGAGCCCAGACAGAGCCCAGAGAGCCGAACCCGCACGAACCAGCTCTCCCGGGAGGGACAGGCTGGGCAGCTGCTTCGGACTCGTTCCCTGGGGAAGGGCATTTGCCCTCCTACCCTGGCTGGCTGTGCAGCCTCCTAACTGCGGTGCTTCTGCTCGTCGTCCTCCAGAAGGTGAATCTGATCGTGTCCCCAGGTGGCAGCTCTCTGGGTGGCTTCACGTGAGATCCCAAGTCCTTACCTCCCTGGCCTGGCGGGCCGCTGAGCCGCCTTCCCGGACATGGCTGGTCCCCTCACTTGCTCTGCTCACAGGTGCCTCCCTTGCCACCCCGGGTTCTCTTCTCCTGTTCTCTGCCCTCCGGAGTTGTTCGCCTCCGTCTCCTGCCCTCTCCCCACCCCCGACTCAAGCTGTGAAGGTGGCCCCTACCTTCGTTTGGTTTGCCCAGCAGGTAGTAGGTACTCCCCGGGCTGGTTGGGTTCATGTGTGAATACAGACTCCTCCCTCCTGAGTGAGTGAATGACAGGGAGTGAATGTGTCTCCGGTAGATATTGGGTTTTTGTGGATAATGCACGAATCTGTTTTTTCTATGTTAGGTTCTCTGCAGTGGTTTTTACCTCCCGTGCTATTCGCAAGAGGAATCCGACTTTAATTCTAAGAATTGCATGAACTGGTTTTCCGTTTACTTGCTTAGGTAGCACGTGGTGGGCGTAACGCTCAGCACTGCCCCGGAGCCCCTTGACAGCACAGAAACCTGTGAGGCCAGGGCAGGACCCCAGCAGCTGCCCCAGTCAGTGCTGGGAAGGGACCTTCCCTGACGTGGCTCCAAGTTCGTGACCCCCTAACCTGACTCCTACACCTGGCGCACTTTGGGCCCCAGCAGCGGCCCCTCCTAAAGTTTGGGGAGAGGTTATTCTCACAAAAATGAGGGCAGTAGGAATTACCGTGTCCATCAGTCCTTTAAAGGGACATCAGATTTTTCCTGTAGAATCTTTACGAGAAAAATCCATTTTTTTCTCTGCAGTTATTTTTATCATATTATAAACTAATTGATTTTTCCAAGGAAAACCCAGGGAATTGCCTGAGAAGCAAAGCAGGGGCTTTGCTGTAGCTCGGGTGTGGGCACGGCAGGAAGCCTGCTTCATTCACCCGAGACCAGGGGCGGGGTGGGGGTGCCGCACGGACTGGAGGACCCGCAACCACAGGACCCCCGTGATGTGCTGGGGCCCCCCAGATACACGGCCCGGCAGAAGCAGTCTTGCCCTCCACTCTTGGAAGTGGCCCAGGGGAAGTGCCGTGTGCACACGCCTGGAGCCCCATGAGCTGAGGGGCGAGTGCTGACCTGGTGACCCCCACAGGGCTGCGGCGGGGTGCAGCGTTACCCCTTCTCCGCGGTGCAGGCCGGGTCCACACCCGGGCTGCCCGGCTCACACGTCAAACACAGGGACTATTTAAATGTAAACGAATCAAAATCAAACAAACTCCGTTCCTCTGTGGCCCTGGCCACATGCCACCAAGTGCTCAGTAGTCACCGGCGGCTGCTGTCAGCTCGGAGGCCAGCCTGTCCGCGTCACCGCAAGGTCCAACGGCAGCGCCGCGGTAGGCTGTCATCCCTGCCACACTGCCTGTGACAACAGCTTGGGCACCGTTAAAACACGGTGGCGGAGAGTGCCATCACCTGCCGCACTTGCTTTATAGAAAAATAAGCCTCAGACAGATCTTCACAAGAGCGTCATGATTTCTTTCATAGGCATAATTACACGTTCCAAGCTAAATTGCAGTTCGAGAGAAGGTGATAAAGCCTTTCTCGGTAATGCCTGTGCTCGGGTTGCTCCTCTCCCGGGGGCTCAGGTGACCGAAGCCGGCCTCCCTGCCGGTAAAATTGCCGGTTCCTCAGCTCCCCGGCCGCCTGCGCCGAGGAGAAGCGAGGCGCCCACATCTCCATGTCTTTGCAGGGCGGGAATGACCACGAGATCTTCGCCGACCCGAGGACCGTGGGCTACACGGTGACGGCCCCCGAGGACACCCGCAGGATCTGTGAAGAGCTGTTCTCCTAACGGCCCCTTTCCCGAGGGAGGGCAGGGCGTCCCGCTGACAGGCTGCAAGGGTCACTGGTGGCCACACTCAGGATCCCTCCCTCCCTCACACGCCCACGACCCCCAGCCCACACCAGGCTCCCCACACTGTCCTATGGTCCCGACGACGACGTGGCCTCCACCCCCAGTGCCAGAAGCAGCCAGACTTCTCAAGAATGGCCTGAAGGAATACCTCCAACCCGATTTCATCCCCCACCCCCAAGTCTCAGACCCTCCGTACGTGCAATCAAAGTACACACGGTTTTGAGGGGGAACCTTCCCCATCATTCTAGAATGATACAGAACGATTGTGCCTGGACCCTCACTCCTCATGGGTCTTGTGAAAAATGTAACCAGTATCAATGTTTAGACCCCCTGTGTCAGTACCGACAGGGGCATCTGGTGATGAGAAAGGACAAGATGTTTACAGCCACCCCTCCCCAGGACAGAAGTTCAGCAATGTCTCCGAAGGGGAAGCTCCTGCCTGAGTGTCAGCCCGGGGGCACTCTGAAAGCGAGAGCCTGTGGCCTCTGAGCAGTACTGAGCTCAGCAGCGCATGGGACGCAGACTGCAGCGTGGCCCGCAGACGGGTGGCCGCCAAGTGACCACTGACCCCAACGAGTTTGCACCTTAGCTGGCCTGCAGCGCGGCAGGCGAGCTCCGAATTCACTACACTTGGAGAGGCTGCTGCATCTCCGCCTATCAGGATGGGAGCAAGTGCGCCCCAACTGCCCTGACCTGGATGCTGGCACTGGCTGGCTCCCCGAGGGCCTTGCTCCCCTCCACTTTCTCAGGGATCACGAGAGCCTGGATTGTTAACAGAAGAGGAGCGGCACAGCTGCTCTGCAGATCTTTTCGTGAAGCTGCAGGTCTGCCCCAGCCTCACCCAGACCCGCACCTAAGGGGTGGGAGCCGTCCGGTGGTCGGGCCTGCGACCCCCACTCGTGCTTCAAGTTCTGCGAGGTCCTCATGCCACTGGAAGGCGGCTCCAGGGCCCCCGTGGGAGAGCGCTATCCAAGGAAACGGTTCACAGGTCACTTTTCAGAATCTGGACTCGTCAGGACCCACAAACCCTCAGTCCACTCCAGTCCACAGCATGGCCTCTGCTCCGGGCTGGCTGACCTGAACTGCGGTCTGCACCCCCACTGCCCCACCCCTGCCCCTCCAGGTGCTTTCATCTCAGCGTTCGCTGGGCCCTTCCAAGCCTCCCGGGCCCCCCCAGACTGGTCTTAGCTTGGGGTCCGGTTGGGGGCAGTCTGCGTGACCACACCCGGGGCTGACGTTGCTCCGTGGTTCCCAGGACACAGCCACCCAGGGGTACCTTTCCTTGTTGGATTTTGCAAATGATACTGTAATGACCTTTCACAATGAAAAGCAGCAAATTAAAGTTGATTTTATTGTTTCCCATTTCTCATTCTGAGGCCTTTCTCCTTCGTTGACGGTTACATGAATGGTGAAGTGAATGACCAGCCATGCTGTGTTCTCAGATTCTGGAAGATCTGCAGATCTGAAGGCCACTGCTTTGGACACTGGTGTTCCCGGGGTTTCTGCAGCGCCAGGGTTTTGTGCTTCCCGGCTGGCACAGATCCTTCCTCGCCTTCCTGCCTACTGGGTAAGGATCCACAAGTTTCCTTGTTACAGCAAAGCAAGTCTTACTCAACCTTGCTCTAACCTTTAGAAGTGGAGACAGCCCTGCCTGGGCTGCCCTGGGCAGGTTCCCCGAGACTGTGGGGCCAGGCCCCGCCCCTCCCGGGGTTCCCCTCCGGACACTCAGCGGCAGACCCCCTGCGCCCCTTTCACCACCCCTGGGGCCTGCCTCTGTGCTGCCAGGACCTCCTCCCACCTGCCCCGCCTTCCACAGGCACCTACTCTCTCTCTTCTGTCTTTGGGTCTTCCAGAACCCCCGGGGCTCCCCCAGCCAGGTGTGGCAGCCTCACCCACGCCAGCTCTGCTGCTGACCAGTGGCGTGACTCAGGACGGGTTCATCGCAGCCTGCTTGCTCCTCTGTCGGGTGGGGTATGGCCCCTACCACACAGGAGACCTAAACGAGCTACCTCCAGCCAGGCTATTACAAACTGCACGAACCCCCGGGAAGCCTCTTACATAAGGCAGGCACCGCCAGCCCTGCTGTCCAGGCGCGGCTAAGTCAGCCCCCAGCTTTCCAGAGCTGGCAGCGCGATGCCAGCACGAGAAACCTCAACACCGTAGTTGTGTTGAGCAAGGGGGAAGCAGAGGTTGGCCCTGGAGTCAGCGGCCCCATGGAGGGCACAGCGGGGACTCCTGAGGGAGAGGCCCCCAGGAAGGCCCTCCTGTACTTCAGTGAGGCACCTGCACTCCATCCCGACGGAGGGGATGGGACAGGATCTGCGGTCTGTGTGGCAAGGTCTCTCAGCCAGTGGGCAGGGGGAGCACCCCGATCGGGAAGATTTGGCAGATTTGTCAAGGTGCAAGTGGCCTTGAATCACTTCCTCCCCAAGGGCTGCTTCCTCTTCCCCCACTGCTCCTTGATCTTGGCCCCATCAGGCCACTTGGGCTCCGTCCCACGGCCACCCCACCCTTCTCTCAGAGCTGGATTCTCTTACCACCTGCAGGTTCTCCCACCTGCACAGTACTCGCTGAGTGCAGCACTTAGACAGATCTTGTTTGGGACAAAACGCCTACTTTGGCTTCTCCCTAAACAGGTCCCTCAGCCTGGTTGTAAGCGTTCCGAATACATTTTGGAAATCAGTATTGCAGTAAAAATACTCATCCCTGCACCATCAAAAATGATCTACCCTCCTTCGGGAGACCCTGGCTGGGCAAGAACTGCCCAGCCTGACCCATAAGTCCGACCCAGAGCATCCCTGCCTGTCAGCCCAGCCTCCCCGCTGCACCCCTGGACACCCAGGCCCTGGGCCTTCACACCTCCCACCACCAAACTTCCCTCAGTCGGGCCTGCCCCTGCTCTCACCGCTCACGCTCACACAGTAAAAGTTCAAGTGCATCCACGTGGCAAGTGGCATTTTGTTGTCCCAAAGCCTGACTCTACTGCTAAGCTGCCCAACGCTGGAGAAGGATGATTAAGGGAAAAGGGATGATCCCATTCTCTTATTCACCGCCCCAAAAAACCAGCCTGTGAAGCAGAATGACACGGAGCATGACTGTGTCCGCCCCGTTTTGGGGAGACGCCCTTACCTGCTGGCTCACAGGAGAAGCACCCGGCCTCCACCTTCACAAACAACACTGAGCCTTGCACAAAACACACTTTATTGAGAGAGAGGCGGTTGGTGGGAGGAAAGATGTGGATGGAATCCCTGATGCTATTCCCAGCTCCGTCACCAGCATCAAACGTCCTCCCAAAAGGAGCTCTGGAAGCGTGGCCTGTAGCTGACAAAGGCCTCCAAGGACCCAGCAGGAGGCAGGGGGTGCAGGAATCCTTCGCGCGGCCCCACGGGCCAGGAAAAAATAGACCAAATGCTTGCTTCACTGCGCTGTCTGCCGGCACGCGTGCACACGTGCGCGCACACACACACACGAGTCAACACACTTGTGTATTTTAAAAACTCACTAGTCGTCAGCAAAATAGTTCTACCTTCCAACCCCTTTCAAAGGAAGCCCACCCCGGACCGAAAGACAGACAGGTCCACAGACTGAGACACCTGATGAGGGCCTTCCTGCTCCCAGCATCCCTCCAGCCTGGCACCCGCCGGCTGCCCTCCCTCCTCTGCAACACCCCCGTCTGCCCCAAAGCTTTCAAAGGTTCACTTCCCTGCACTGACACATGGTTTCCTGACTACACATAAGCCCCATATTTCAAAACATTATTACCCAGCTATTTCTAATTTTAAATCACAACGAAAGCCAAACCAAACCACACCACCGCAAAGAAACTCCTAAGGATGTGTTTACGGCAAATATCTACAAATGTTTGAAATGTCGGCAGCGAAGTGCGCACAGGGCTGGCTCTGGCTGAGAGCCTTCGTTATTAAAAAAGGAAAGAAAAAAATCCTAAGCATTTCTTAACACCGGTTTGCAAGAAAACCCCATGACCAAAGGTGCATTTCTCCTTTAACTTTTGATTTGACCAGGCCTGCCCAGAGCAAGCTACCAACTCTCTTCTGGAGGGATCTGGACAAAGGTCTGATTTTAAACAAAGATTCTCCCTTCTCCCACCCCCACCCCCACCCCCCACCTAAAGGACCAGGGATATGAAATGCCTTCTATGTGATAATCATTCACCTTGAGGGTGGAAGGAGACCGGGCTCCTAGGAGAGTATAGAGCTGAGCCCGGCATAGCTGGGGGGCGGGCGGGGGGCGGGGGAGACACTCAGGGCTCCCGGAAAAACTCTTTTTCCCCAGATGCCCAGTAGTGACACCTCCCACTTGCAAGGCACCAGAGCCCGCCCAGCTCTCCCTGCTCCCTGGCCGCCCCATGAAGCCAGTTCCCCTAGAACCAACCACAAGGAAGGGTCTGGGCCTGGAGCCATGGACACAAAGAGGATGGCCACATGGGTAAGAATGCATCGTGGGAAACGTGCAGGGCCCCGGTCAGCCCCGGCGTGGACTGGGCCTGGGGACTCTTAAGTTTCCAGTCCAGGGGCACAAAGGACACTATGGGTTGGGGAAGCACTGCCTGACCCACCCCCGGGCTGGGGTTGGACCCTTCACTCAGCCACCAGTGGGCGCCCCTCCTTTTTCCATGCTTTTAATGCTTTTCAGATGGTGAGAGGCTGTTGCAATGGTCAGAAGCTGTGCTGGTGGCCAAGAGCACCCCCATGCCTGCCCCCCACACCCCTTCCTCCAGGAGATACTCGAAAGGGACTGGGCTCCCCCCTTTGAAGCCCCATCTAAAGCAGTAGACCGGCATCTCCAGTTTGGTCCTGCCTCCTCCCCCCAGAGTCTCCCGCAAGCCCAGGAGAAAGGGGTGCTTCCGGCCTCTCCTAGGAGCTGACGACGTGACCAGACCAGGTCTCGTGCTTGGTGCCCGGGGCCAGATGGGTGATGACCACCTCCACGGCCTGCAGCTTCTCGTTCTTGGGGGGGATGGAGCACATCTTATAGGTGACCTCGTCGCCTTCCACGGGGACGTACTCCCCTTCCACACTGCAGAGGTGGGGAAACAGCACTCAGTGCCCAGCGCTCAGAAAGGACCGCAGCCCCTGCTGGTCAGAGGGGCACCCCTTTCACAGGAACTGCCCCTCCTGCCCTGCCACCAGAGGGAGCCACCCCATTTCAGTGGCGCCATGTCACCCCTTGCCTCCCCTGACACGGAGGCCAAGCCTGTGCAGGGGCCCATGCTGTCCATTAAACATGGGCCTGTGGACAGAAGGGCAGGGAGAGCTGGTCTGAGCCTGAGACAGAAAGACTAGGCTGGCCTGTCACTGTCAAGCATGGCGCACGGAGTTTCCTGAGCTCCTGCAGCACACCAGGTCCCAGGAGCCCCCCACACCCAGCTGCGTGCATCTCTGCCCTCCAACTCCCCAGACACTCCGTGAACTTACAGGGAAGTCCCTTCTGTGCTTAAAGCTAGTTCCAGAAAGTGTCCTCTCCCTGTGACCACCCCCAGGAAGATTCCCTCACGTTCCATGGGGCACAAGCCACCATCTTGATGCCCCCCTTGAGGATACCTCCAAGAGGAACATCCCCCTCAGCTCTTGGAACTGGTTTGTCTTGACTGAAGAATCCCCTAGCAAATGGTGCCTCCCTCTTGGATCTGGCCACCGGGAAGCTCAGGAATATACCTACAGTCCACTTCTGGCGTGAAGTGGCCATCCCATCTCTCCACCTCTCTGATTCACTCCCCACCCCCATGTTTTCCTTACTAACTTATTTTTCACGGTGCACTGTGAATATCCTTGTAAGCCACTACAAATCCCTTCTGGACAGAGGCAAGATGAAAATACATGTATGTACACATCCACATATGCGTGCATACACACATCAGATGCATTGCCTCAGCACCTTTCTGGTGTGTGCACTGTAGTGGGGCCCGTGTAAGGCCTGACGTGGAAGAACGTTGGGAGGAAGGCCTCAAGAAGGGATCATTCGCCCATCCCAACAGACATTTGCGACAGCACCCTACCTATTTGCAAAAACATGGTTTTTCTCTATTGCCTGGTCTGCTGTGTGGGGTAGGACTCAGCCTGCCGCAGACTGAAATAAAGATCGGGGGGTGCAGAGGCCAAAGAATGGAGCAGGGGTAAGGGTGCCAGATGAGATCCCCACATATCTGAAGGCAGGAGAGAAGCACAAACTCTGGCTGTCTTCCAGCCCTGAGGCCTCGGATGTGTGGGCCACGCCCTGGGCCTCCCGAGGGTTTCCACACAGGAAGGAAGGATGTCAGTGAGCAAATGGCACGGGAGAGGGTCCAGCTCCAGACTTCCTTCCTGGACCACAGGAGTCACGCAGCCCCCAGCCTCACCAAGCGGCCTCCCCCGAGCTAAGCAGAGCTAAGCAGGAGACCAGACCCCAGGTCCAACGCAGCTCCCACAGCTCCTGGGGGCACCCCCCTCCCCATCCACCAGATACACACGGGCACTCAGACCCATCCCAGGGGTTCTCAACACGCCTGCATGCTCTCTCTCTCGCTCTCTCCTGCGCGTGCACACACATGCACATACACGCACGCAGACTGTCATCACCTGCAGCCTCCCACACACACCACCGCCAAGTACAGTCTTACCACCCCACCCCCAGACACAGTCACACACAGGTCACAGGCAGAGTCTCACACCCTCACACACAGCGCCCACTGAAGTCACACCCTCCCCCTGCCTTCTTGGGGCCTAGGCAGCACCTGCCCCAGCCCCAAACCACCCAAACCAGCCCTGACTCACTCGGAAATGTGCAGGAAGATGTCAGGGCCGCCATCTGCCGGGGTAATGAAGCCATGGCCCTTGGATCGACAGAAACATTTGCAGACTCCTTTGTAGACGGGACCTTGAGAAGCCCGCACCGTCCTGACAGAGATTAAGAAGGTATGAGGAGGCCCCCACCAGCCCTCCAAAACAGCCATCCACTCCCCTGGGGCACACCCAGCTCATCCCAGAACCCCCCCACCCAAAAGCTGTGCCCCAGGCAGTAGCCAGGGCCACAAAGTCCAGCTGTGCAGGTTGTGCACTGCACAACTCTGGGAGCCATTCACACAGACCTCAATAAAAGTGACTCTCTGGTGACCCTGGCAAATTTTCTCAGGCCTCAGTTTCTCCATCTGGAAAGGGGACTAGACTAAAAGCTCTCTGAGCATCCCTCCGAGGACTAATTATTAATAACTGCAGCAGCCTCTACTCCTTGGGCCTGAGATCTGGATCTGCCAGGCACCGTGCAGGTCCCTTGCAGCTCCGTGGCCAACCTGCTACTGTCCCCATTTTGCAGTTGAGGAAGTCGAGGTCTCGCAAAGGAAGAGGCTTGTGTGTGGTTAACACCCAATGATTTAAGACCCCAGTGATTTCCCATTTGTTATGACCCCCAGCCTGGGGCAGGCTCAAGGGGCCTGGGGCAGTGCCCCACAGAGTTTACAGGGTGCCTTCCCAGTCTCTCACCATTGGTCCTTACCCCAACCCATCTCCCCCTTTGACAGACAAGGACACTGAGGCACAGAGATGGCCAGACACAATGACTCTGGCTTCTGGGCAGGAGACCTATCTCAGGAAGCTTCCCCAGGCTAATCCAAGACTCACGCTGAGAAGGTCCTTGTCCGGCGGGTGGGCAGTGGGCTGGGGACCACGTTGCCCCGAAGAGGGGACGGTGACCGATCTCGGGCCCGCTGGGTGTCCAGCAGCCCCACCGACGTCTGGTGGGTTGGGGGCTGTGGTGGCGGAGGAGGCTCAGATGACATGGCTAACCTAGGGAGAGACAGAGGGCTCTCAGGGGCTAATGCCTTGCAAGGAGGGGCCCCCCAGATGGAGCCCCCAGCCCCGTGAGAGTCTGAGAGTCTGCCATCCGAGAGACCCAGTGCTCTCGGCTGGGGAATGCAGGCGCAAGGCTCACTCAGCGTAGAGGTCCCCTTGTCCAGAAGCATGCCTGGCTTGCCCCAGCTGGGTCAGGCGCCTCCTGGGCTCCTGCAGCAGCCGTGGGCCTCCCTCTGGCATCATCCTGCCAGGAAATGCCTGCTTGTCCCAAGACAAGGATGCCATCAGTCCCCTCTACGTCCCCAGCGCACAGCACAGATCTCGGGCCACTGAGTCAATACTCGTGAAAGGGAGGGAGAGAAGGAGCAGGAGGGAGGGAAGGAGCCAGGGAGGGAGGCAGGGGGGAGGCAGGGCAGGGGGGCCTTACTGCCAGCCACCTAGATCACACTCCAGCTACTCAACAAACTTGACCCGCTAAGTGCCAGGCACCGTGGGGCAGGCGGAGAGGCAAGAGAACAGCACACGGTGTTCCTCCCAAGAAACTCTGGACACAAACCAGAGAGGTGCAGACCCCAGGTTTGGATCCCCGGGGGCTGTCACCAGCCTGCACCTGGGACAGTGAGCCCAAGGGACCCAACGTGGTAGGCCACTGCAGAGGCCCTTACATATCCAGGCACTCAGTGTGCACTCTGCCTGGGTCACTGGCCGCGAGGAATGCCAATTCCCCGAATTCCCCCCGGTCACCCTTAACATGCATCAGGGGCGGGGTCAGCCCTGGCTGGGGGCGCTGGGCAGAGCGGACTCCATAGCTGCTGCCCTGCTCTTGGCACTTGTGCCAAGAGCAGGACGTGGCCACTGCCCTGAACACGTGACCACCAAGGTACCCGCTCCGACTTGGCCTTGCTTGGCTCAAGCCCAACAGGAAAGAGCAAAGCTCAGGAGCCAGAGGGCTTTGGGTAAGTCCTTCCCCCTCTCTGGGACCAATTGCCCCGTCTGCAACATGGGGCAGCTGAGTTGGCGTTCCTGGACACCTGCTCGGGCTGGTGATGGCACGGGAGGTGAAGCAGAGCCAGGCCCTGCGGCCGGGGCAGTGGAGGAGCCCGAACTCACACTTGGCCGAGGCACGCAGAGTGAGATGGGGGGGCAGTGGCAGCCCCAACGGCTTGTGGGACTCACACAGGGTTTTCACATTTAAAACGGGGGCTGTCTTACACATAGCTCTCTCAAACAGGGGCTTCCAACTACTCTTGGGAAAAAACTCAAAGCTCTGATCACTCTGAACCCCCGTATGCCACCCTGCTTCCCTCACTGATGGGGACTCTGTGGCCCGGGGCCCTGGGCTTTCAACCTACATCACCCAGGAGTGCGCCCTCTGCCTGCAACCCAAGCCACCCAAGACCTAGGCCTGGTTCCTCCCCCGAAAGGACCAAAACTCTCCCCGTCCCCCTCCCCCACATTCTACCCACAGCCCCCCACACTCCCCTGTCTGGCCTTAGATCTGTCCTGCTAGGAAGAGAGAGGGCCGGCTAGCCTTCTCGAGGAAGTGACATAGTACCTCCTGACCCTTCTTTCAGCTGTAACCGTGGCCAGGGAGGACCGGGGAGCCCCCACCTCAGAAAGGCCCTGGCTGCTGGGCTAGGGGTCAGGGCTCCAGCATGACCCACAGTACAGGTCATAGAGTCCCAGAATGTTCCGGTGCTTGGGGTTCTGGGAAGGGGGCTGGCCCAGAGAAAGGAGCACCCTGCCCAGGCCTGCCGGGGCCTGAAAGGGGGGGGACCACCCCCGCCCCCCCGCCATCCACAGTCTTCTTGTCCTCCTCTGGAGTCAGGCACATCTGACCTCACACCACTGCCATGAAGTTGAAATCATATAATACACGCTAAGCACTCAGCATCTACCTGCACAAGTGAGGAATAACTGTCAGCTATGATTGTTCTAACTGTCACCATAAGGTCATTCCACAAACAGGTGACTGGTGCCAGGCCCTGGTCATGGCACTAGAGACACAGGACCTGAATTTGGAGGCAGAGAATAAATAGGTAAATAAGTATATAAATAAGATCATCACAGATTCCCAAAAGGGCTGGTAAGAAATACACAAAAGGAGATAAAAAGTAAGGGGTGAGGACGCTTTTCTAATGAGGGTACACCGGGGCCCTGAACAGTAAGAGTCAACCTTGTGAAAAACAGAGAGGCTCTTCGAGGTAGGGGAAACAGCCTATGCAAAGGCCCTGAGGGTTGGCAAGGGCCCAGGTGTGGCTGAAGGCCAGTGAGGAGGCAGTGTGGTGGGCACCAGGGATGGGGAGACAAGGACCAGCTGACGAATTATGGGGCATCATCAACATATGTCTCTTCCTTTCTTCACACCCATCTGTCCGTCTGTCTGTCCCATGCCTTTTACCATGCCTACCTCCCCCTGAATTCATGAAACAGGCCCAAACTGGAGGCCCCCTTCTCTCCACCCGAGCAACCCTGATTCCCCAAATACACCCAACCCTCAGAGATGCCAATGGGAGCCCATGGTCTTGGGGGTGAGCAACCTGAGGGCAGCACAGGATCCCTCCATGTCCCTAGGGCCCAGCACTGGGGCTGGTGGAGAGCAGGGTTCCCTTCTTAACCAGCATTAGAACCAGGAGTGTCGGCTGGCGGCCACAGGGAACTCGGTGTGCCCTCGCTAGCACAGTCCAGCAGGGGGTGGTGACAGCCAGGCTCGCCCGGCAGTGTTAGAAACTGGGGCCCAGAGGGCACCACTGGCTGGGGTGGGGGGCGCGGGGAGACCCCAGAGCCTTCACCACTGCTCTGCCCGCCTCTCTCAGCCCATCTGAGCTGACAGAGCAGCTGGGGCAGCTGGAGCAGGCCTGGCCACGGGCCAGCCCACCCCCAGGGCCGGGCACAGAAAGAGGAGTGAATAGCCTCTGTGTGGGGGAGGCCGGGGTCAGGGTCCAGCTGCAAGGAAAACAGCTGGGGGAGGGGGCAGCCAGTCACCCAGGAGCCAACCCTGCAGCTGCTGCTGACCCCCCCTCTAGCACAGATGGGGAGAGGGGTACAGAGGGCCAGCCACATGCCCCAGCAGAGTCCGGGGCTCGGGCGGAGGCGGGGCCCACCCTCTGTGACCAGCCCCCTCCACCACCAGCCCACAAGCCCCTCAACTCCCCACAACTCCCCACAACTCCCCAAGGCTGGGAGCAGTTTGCAAGCAGGTGCTTGAAGCCCAGACCTGGGATGGGCCTCTGACGGGCAGCAAAGTGACCCAAATGTCCCCGGCCAGGGCGTGTCACAGGGTGCTGTGTGCAAGTGCTTGTGTACATGCCTGTGCACACGTATACGTGTGTCCGTATACGTGCGTGGGCTTGTCACTGCCTGTGTGTGCACACCAGGGAACCAGGTGGGGCTGTGTCTGTCCCCCAAGCGCACTGGGGGCTTGCACTGGCACCCAAGGCCCTTGATGAAGGCTACATCCTTTCCAACAGTTACCGGGCCACCCACTATGCACAGGAAATGGACACAGGGCTGCAAATTCCTGTCCTCAGGAGCATAGGCTCGGGGACTGGAGACCCACCATCACCAGGACAGGAACGTGTCCTGCAGCTAGGCACTTCACCCATCTCCACTCGTTCATCCCCATTTAGCTGATGGGAAAACTGAGGCACTAAGTGTCAAGTAGCTTGCCTTGGGCCCCCCAGCTAGGAAGTAAACTGGGGAAATGTTCTGGAGAAAAAGCAAGCAGGGCAGGGGAGGGGAGCAGGGGTGAGGGGATGCATTTTCAAAGCAGGTGGTCTGAGGAGGTGGGTGAGCAGGGGGCCATGCGCCCCTTCCCTCAGTCAGCTCCCACCCCAGGTTCTCAACAGTGCCCAGAGCCAGGGGAGGGGGACCCAAGGTCTAGAGCTGAGGGAGCCAGGAAGTCACTCCCACCCTGGCTGCCCGCGGGGAGGGGTGTGTCAGCAGGGCCTTCATCCCCGGAAAGGGTGGAGAAGGGGGCCTCAACCCAAAATAGCCTGGGAATTTTCCACATGCCCTGCGTGTCCTCCTGTGAGGTTCTCAGAGTGCAGCCAGGCACCAGGCTCTGGCCTTCCCAACCCCTCCCCTCAGCCCACCCACCTATCTGGGGACTCCAGACAACCCTGCAGACCTCCTGTGAACCCCACCTCCTGCCCTCCTGCCCTGAGAAGCCAACCACTGTATCAAGGATGAGTCAGTCTTAAGCCAAAGAGCCAGGTGCTTACTACAGGGAGGGGAGCTTTGGCAGTGTTTTCTCAGTCATTTACACTTTAGTGAGAGGGAGTTTGCAGTTTATTTCCCAAGACTCCATTGTTGGTAGCTTTCACACCTCTCCCTGAGGGCGGGAAGATGGGGGGCGAAGGGGAGACTAGGGGAACAAGAACTGGGTTCGATCACGTTGGTGCTTCTTTCTCAGTGTGGTTCTTGGCGAAGCCAGGCCACTCCAAGCCTAGGCTGAAAACTGGGGGTCTTGAGCCTTGCCTGGGTTTCCGGCTGGGGGAAGCCAGAGCTGGGCATCGTGCATGGGCACTTCCCCCCCCAGCTGCAGGGCCAGATGGCTGCGGGCATGTGGGGATGGCTCCGAACCAGCCCACACACGGGGAGGGGGGCAGGGCACTAGAGAACTAGCCACGGTCGGGGAAAGGGGACAAGAGGGAGGCTGTGCTTTGATTCGCCCGATGTCCACTGCCCACCACCCACCGACTTCCGTGTCAGGCTCGCCACTGGGCATTCACATCCACGAACTAGATTCATCCCCACGGTGGCACAGCTGGGGAGGTGCTTTCCTCATCCTCATTTTACAGGTGGGAAACTAAGGCACAGAGGGTCGCACACTTTAGGGTCTCCACGAGTCTGTGGGGTGGTGATAAAATGCAGATTCTGATTCTGAAGGGTGGGAAGGGGATTCGGCGGGTCTGAGGTGCTCCCGGGGAGGGAGGTGCTGCTGGTGCATGGAACAGAGCAGCACCAGAGTGCGGCGGCGTGACGACCTGCCCACCGTCACAGCCAGTGGGTTGGCAGGTGTCAACCCCGTGTGAGAGGTTGGAAGGGAAACGGGGGGGGGGCGGACTCTGGGTGAGTCACAGTTACTCTAGGGCACCCAGGTTCCTCCTCTGTAAACTGAGGCTGAGAGTCGGTGACCCCCTCCCCACCTCCAGGCCAGCTGGGCCCCCACCTGGCAGAACGGAGGGCTGGCGGTGGAGGGGTGATCCACCGGACAGAGGGGTCCCAGGAAGCGAGAGAGGCCCCAGGAGGAGACCCTAAGTGGGCCTCGGCCACCTCCCACTCCATTGTTCGGGACAGAGCCGAGGGCCGCGGGGAGGGAGAGGATAGAGGGGAGGCAGGGGAGGGGCGGAGGCCAGGGGAGGGGCGCGCAGTGGAGCTGGGGGCGGCGGGCTGCAGCGGGCCAGCCATCGCCGGGAGCCAGCAGGGCCGGCCGCAGAAACACAAACAAGGCGGTAGGGTGCCACCCGCGGCCAGACCCCCGGCCGGGAAGTGCCCTCCCGCTGCCCCTCGGGGCCCCAGAGTGCTGGGAAGAGGCCAGAAACCCGAGGACCGGCGGCCCGGGAACCCGATGCGGCGCCTCCAGCGTGGCCGCCTGAACCCCGCCCCGGAGCCCTTGCCCATGCACGACGGCCTCGCCGGGACCAGCCGCGCCCGGCGGAGAAGGTCCACCAGCGCCGCGCCCCACCCTCCAGGGACCCTGCGCCCCGCCCCCCCGCCCCAGCTCGTAATCAGAAGCCGACTCTGCACTCCATCACCCCCGGGGTCACGCATTCCCATATTGCATCCTTGCCTCCAGCACCCCTCCCCTCTCCGCGAGGGGCTTGGGGGAGCTGACCGGAGTTTTAGGCCTGACTGTGCTCTCCACTCCCCCTGTGACCCCTGGCAAGCGTCCTCACCGCTCCACGCCTGTTTCCTCATTTGTCAAACGGGACAGTAATGCAGCATCCCAGGCCCCCGGACGCGGTGCCGACGGTGCCAGCTACAATGGGCTCAGCCAACAATACTTGAGCCGCTAATGGTGGAACTGTCAGGCATGGGGCGATCTAGAATAATCCCTCCCATTGCTGTCCCTGCTGATGAGACACAAACCAAAAGCCCTGACTTGGCCACCCCGCGGGACAAAGAAAAGACGTTCCCCTCCCAGGGGAACCCACTCTCAACGTCCACCCTGGGCCCCAGGGCCCCGCTGGGTCTGGCTCAGCTCCACGCTACAGGGCCCTGTTCTTGCCCTGGGGGTGCTCCCGCGCCACCTGGGGGTGTCAGGGCAGGAGGACGGGCAGCCCAGCACTGAGAACTCGCCGGCACCAAGTACCCCCGGGCAGCAGGAGCGCAAAAGTAGCTGGAGAGGGCCCTGGCCGAAGAGGGGAAGCTGCCTTGAGTCTTAAAAGGGTCACTTCTGGGGGGGGGGGTCATTCCTGGCAAAGGGACCTGCAGGGGCAAAGGCGTGGGGGGTGGGGGGGCGGGAGGCGGCCGCGGAGGCTGGAGAAGGTCGCCTTGGAAGGTAACAGAAAGCCCTGTGGACAAGTTTGGGACTTAGACAATAGGGACATCAGCGGACGATTTTAAGGCGGGGGTTGATTTGAACCGGTTGTTTTTACAAGTTCCTTCTGGCTTCGAAGAGGCGAGAGGATTGGAGGGGCCAGACTGGAGGCGGAGACAGAAATATCAAAAAAGCAAGTAGAATATCTGACAGTAGCTAATGCTTCTCCCGGGACTGGGTTAGCCTCCTCCTTTTATTCTCTCACACCCCGTTATGAGAGAAGTTATACCACTAGTCTACAAACTGGGGAAACTGAGGCGGGAGGCCTCCTCTTATGCAGTGAAGACACCTCCACCAACGGGAACGGAGGCCCTGCCTGGAACCGGCTGATCCCCGCTCCCCCCACCCATACACACATCCACTCCAACCCCAGATAAGATGTGGGGGCCGGGGGCTTTCTTTTTAAAAAATCAAAAAACAACGCTGCATTTCCGGCCTGCAAACGGGCTGCCGGCGGGGCCCTCGGGGAGGGAGTCGGCGGGCGCGGGTGAAGTTTTTCTGCTCCGCCCAGAGGCCCCCCATCCGGGCGCAAACACTCTGCGAGCGCCCGGCGGCTCCTCCTCCCCCAGATGCGGCCAATCGTGCGGCGCCAGGACGGCTCCCTCCGCCCCAACCTCCCCAGCAACCCGGGTCCCACCGCTCGCGCCGCCCCACCGGGCTGGGGGGTCGGCGCCCCCACCCCGCGCGGCGCCCCCCGCTCCGTCCCTCGAGTCCCCCACTCGCGGTCCAGCCCACGGGTGAAAGCGAGGGGAGACTGTCCCCGCACGCCGCAAGCGCTGCCCGACGTCCGCCCCAAATCCCTCCCGCTGCTGCCACACCCGCCCCCTTCCCGGGGATGAGTAACCTGCTCTCCCCAAACAGGCCGCGGCGGCCCGGGCATTTCCTCGGGGCCTAGAGACCCAGCCCGGAGCCCCCTGCCGGCGGCCAGGAAGACCCTGCAAAGGGGGCTGGATGCGGGCGGCGGCCGCAAGGAGGCCGACGTCCGGTCCGAGCTCCCGCCGCCCGGGAGAGGACACCCCGCCACACCCCTCGGGGAGACCCGGAGAAGCTCCCTACCTGCGATCCGCTCCGCGCCGCCAGCTGCTCGGCTGCAACTGCGAGAGCCCGGGAGCTGGGGAGGGGGCGTGGCCCGCGAGGGCGGGCCGGTCGAGGCCCCGCCCCCACGCGCTCCCCGCCAATGGGGCTGCGGGCCGGCGCGCCGGACTGCCGGGTTAACGCGGCGCGCGGGGGCAGCCCCGACGGGAGCTTTGTGTCCTCGCGCGGGACTGGCGGGAGCGCGGGGCGCCCGGCTGGCGGGGGAGCCGGGGGACTGCCCGCCCGTGCTGCCCGTCAGGTCGGGAAACTCCCCAGAGGAGTGGAGGGCTCGTGCAGGTCCCTGCCCTAACCACCCGCTGCAGGTCCGGCCCGAAGCTGACCTTCGTTCCAGAATGCGGAAGGCCCGGGGCGCCTCCATCTTGGCGGGGAGAAAGAGCTCCAGGAAGGCCGAGAAAGAATGAAAAGAGAGGTAGAAGGGAAACAAGCCAAGAACTGAAGGGAAGAGGGGAGGAAAGGAAGGCAAAACAAAAACAAAAAAAAAGTGAAAGCTATTGATTTGTTCTCTTTTTTTGTTCTTAATTTGCACTCCCTCCTAGAGTCCTTGAGTCCCCTGCCTGTGCAGGTAAAGGACAAGACTCTCGTGTAACAGGAGAGGAAACTGAGGCACAGAGAAGTGACACCTCCCTGGCCCCACCTAGTCACAGCGCGTCGCAGCAAGAGGGGCCCCTAAAAGCGAGCCCAGCCCTGGACCGAGGCTCAGGTTGGCCGAAGGGGCGAGGGATCCCAGAACTGTCCTGGGACTCTAGGCTCTGCTGAAGCCCACCAGCACTGCCTGCCTGTCAATCCCTCCCTCTTTCACCCTCCTTTCCTCCTCTGATTGCCTACAAAGAAGAGACCACTGAGGACACAGCAAGAACACAGCTGTCCACAAGCCAGGAGGAGGGTCCTCCACCAGGAACGGAATTGCCAGCACCCTGATCTTGGACTTCCCAGGCTCCAGAACTGTGAGATGTCAGTTTTTGTTGCCTGGGCCACCCAGTCTCTGGTGGTTTTGTTACAGCAGCAGGAACAGCCTTTCTCTTTGTTCTCAACTAACCACAGTCTCTGAAAATTTCACACCCAAGTTTGGTGCAGTTCTGGGCTACAGTTATTCACTGGTTGTGCCGCCAGGCTCTGTCTGGGGTGCTGAGCATCCAGAAGTAAAAAGTGCCCACCCAGTACCCGCCCAGGAGGAGTCACCTCCTGTTGAGACAGCAGGCCGGTGCATAAGGAGGATGTCAGGTGGTGGGCTGGGTAAGCCTCTGTGGCTCAGTGAGGGCCCTGCCCTCGGCCCTGTCAGCTAAGACCAGTCCCAGGGAGGCGTTCTCTCTCCCAAATTGTCATGGCTTGAGCCTCTTGCGACCCAAGACATCAGCCCACCATCATGACCCCATCCGATGGCACTAGCCTAATGGTCAGACTTGAGCCAGCAGCAGATGAGGAGATCTGGCCTAACTTTTCTGCCCAATAAGGACCAATTATCTATTCAGCCACCTGACAAATATTTATTGCACCTGAGCTCTGTTCCAGGCCTGGGACTAAACAAAACTTGTGTGGGTTCTGTCCCCGCCCCAGGGGGTTATAGTCTAAGAGGGGAAGCAGGGACTCCTGGGTGGTGCAGTCGGTTAAGCATCTGCCTTCACCCCAGGTCATGATCTCAGGGTCCTGGGATCGAGCCCCACCTCTGGCTCCTTGCTCCTTCCTTGCTCGAAGGGGAGCCTGCTTCTCCCTCTCCGTCTGCCGCTCCCTCTGCTTGTGCTCTCTCGCTCTCTCCTCTCCCTCACATAAATAAATAAAATCTTAAAAAAAAAAAAATAGGGGAGGCAGATGTTAAACCAGTAATCACAATGGTATAAAATCCCGCTGTACCCGCAGCAAGGACAGTGACTGGGATGGAGAAGCCAGGAAAGTGCTGGTTGGCCTGAGATCTTCTGGAAGATCAGGAATTAAACAGACAAAGGAAAAGACATTCCTGAGGGAGATTAGAGCAAGTGCAAAGGCCCTGAGGCAGGAGTGTGGTGGGGCTAGAACTCAGGGAGAGAGGAGTGGGAGTGTGAGGTATGGTAGCAGGAGCCAGAGTGGACTAAATTTATGGGTCTCCATTAGGAAGCTTCATCTTTAAGAGTGCTGGCCGCCAGGGAAGGTCTAAGAGCAGGGATGAAGTGGAGACTCCTCCACCCACCTGCCCCCGTCCCCCCCATCCCTTCCCACCATGACTGGGGCCTCTTCCATCTCACCAGGAGGAGCGGCCTCCTGCCATGGCTTGTGCCTCCCCCTAATGTCGGTGCCCATGCTTGTTTCCTATGCAGCAGCCAGAGTGAGCTTTCAAAAGCATTAAATCCAACCATTGCTAAAGAAAAAAATGACTTATGACACTTGTTAAAACTGTAAGACGGACTTTATTCAGGACTGTCGTGAAGGTGCAGGGACCACAGCTATGGGGCTTTGCCCTAAGGGAGAGAGATGGAGCTCAGCTCCGAATATGGCATGGAAAAGTGGGGATTTATATAGCCAGAGAGCGGGAGCGGGGTCAGCAAGTGGGGAATTGCTAGGAGGAAGTTTCAGAGGGAAGGGGGGATTCTGGCTAAGCTGACCTGGCAGGATTCTTGCAGAAGATGAAAACAGGCCAAGGCAATCAGGCATATCCCCTGCGAGGTGGTAGGGGATGAGGAATTTGGTGAGATCTTGAGGGTAGGGAATTCTGGCTAAACCAGCTTGACGGGATTCTTGCCAAAACTGGACTCTCCACGGACAGGGTCGGAAGCTCACGTTCGGACCTAGTAGGGCAGAGGGCTCAGAGGCACCTACATACAGTTTGGCCAGGGAGAGAATCTTTGTCACCATGTCCTTCCCCTGCTCAAAACCCTTCTGTAACTCCCTGTTTCTCTTTAAATGAAAGCCAGACTCATCTGCTGTTAACACTTCGGATTGACTTCACATAAGAAAACTCCAGTAAGCAGCATGAGCAAGCTGGAGGTGTAGACCTGTCAGGTAGAAGACAGGGGTGGTATGCCTGGGGTTGATAATGGCAGGCCTGGAGTCCTCAAGGACTGGGTGTCTCTTCAACAGGTCCCCTCTCTCAGCACCTCCAGTTTTCATCTGTAAAATGGGGACAACGTCAGCACCTCTCTCAGTAAAGGTGGTTGTGTTGTAGAAGTGAGGGAATTCATGGATGCTTAGGACACAGCCTGGGACACTGTAAGCATTATGTTTTTTTATTTGCTTTTTAAAACACTTCTTGCTTAAATCTAGGTGTCACCCTTGTAATGACAATAGCTGCCCAGTTCTCCCTACAATGTGCCAGGCACACTAGACACCATAATGTGTGTCAGAGCTGGTGACCGGCACAGTTGAGCTTCTTAAAGCCTTATCGCAACCCAGAAGAATTGACCCGTTCTACAAATGGGGAAATGGGGCTCAGATCAGCAATGCAACTTACCCAAGGTCACACAGCACTAACTGGACAGGCCGAGATTTGAATGTCACCATGTGACACCCCAAGGTGCTCATTCCCCATGGCATTTAGACCGAATTCCCTCCCCCCCCCGACCCAGGATATGTCTCACACACACACACACACACACACACACAAACAAACACGCACACACACACACACACACACACACCCTGATGTCTCAGAGAGGGGCCTCCCTGGGCTGGAGCAGGGATGGGAGCTCAGGCTCTGGGAACACCTGCTTTTCCCTGCTTAGTGCTCTTTGTCTCTTTTGGCCTGCTACTTTCTGGACAGTCACGTCCCTGTTCCTGGTCTGCCTCCAGCCACTGCCCGTCCATGTAGCAGCCCCAAGCGGTCTTATCAGGTCTCAGCACTCTCTGCCCAATCTCATGTCCCTCTGCTCCCACCACTGCAACCCCACTGGGTACCTCAGGGCCTTTGCACATGCTTTTCCCTCAGCTTTTCCCCAATACTCTCTTCCCCCACATCTTCCCAGGCTGCCTCTTTCTGGTCATTACACCTCAGAAGAGGGGACCCTCTGCCCACCCTGAACCAGATAGGGTACCCCTAAAATGTGTGCTCCCCAGGGCAGGCACCTTGTCTGCCTCCCTTGGTTTCGTATGCCTGATGCATAGTAGGTGCTCAGTAAGTACACGTTGAAGAAATAGGGGCCGCAGCAGTGTCACGGGATGCAGTGAGATATGTCAAGGATGAGGGGCCTGACAGATGACTAGGTTTTCCCTTCTGTAAAATGGAGCCAGGAGAGCCTGCAGTTGAGAAGGAGTTGGGTGGGGATGCCAGTGGAGTGCTGCACCTGGGCTGACCTGGTCCAGGCAGCTCTTGAGGCTGGAACCTGCTCAGGACGGGGTCCAAGTCAGTTGGCCATGCCTGCTAGCTGAAGGAGAAAAAAGACGGGCCCAGGAGCCCACCTGTGTGAATACACCCCACGCCCAGATACCCTGTCTGCATACCTCTCCCGTGCAGACACACAGACATGGCAAGTCCCAGACACATAGCCCACCCCAGATGAAGGGAGACACACACTCACACACACACACAAATATCTCTACGTGCAAACCTGCTCTGCACACAAACACCATGCGGATGAGACACGCCCCCGACCCAACAGGACCCACATCACGAGCAACGTCAGCATCTTCCCACACACACACGCAAACTCACGCAGACAAAAGCATGCATAACCACGCACCCCCACCACACAGCTCCTGAGGCTCTCCCCTAGACCCCAAAAGCTTTCTCTGTGTAGAAAGTCCCCCTCTCCTCCACCAGGCAGGCCTCGGGAGCAATGTCCTAGAGTTCTGAGGGCAGAGGATGGATGGCAGCCACCCAGGAAAGCACCTGTCACCCCTTCTCATCGAGGTGCCTGCTATTCAGTGAGAGGGCCTCCAAGGGCACACAGGACAGGAGAAACCCCCCGCTTTCCTTCCCTGGCCCCGGTGGGCAGGGGGCTTGGGTGTGGGGCGCCTCCAGCAGTGCACACCTCCTCACATTCCTCCAGCCCCCAGCTCGCCCCAGGCTGGGCGGAAGAGGAAGCAGACGGGGCG